GACTCTACCTAGACAGGTGCGGCATAACCAATCAGAGCTGTAGCAAGCCTGTATGCAAATAGATCATTGCCATAAATCGATCTGTGCCATTCACTTTGAACTGTACTGCCTTTACAGCATGAGCGGTCGTGAGTAGATGGCTTGTTTTGAGATCAAAGTTAGAGCTGCATGTAGCCATGTGTGCACATTTGTTCATATCCTTTGCTAGTTGGTGAGTTATTACTCCAGTTATAGATCATTTGTAGTCAGCAATGGGGTAGTGATTGCTTCCTACAAGAGCGCAAAACGTGTACATTTCTAGACATCTTTGAAAGAGTTGGGTAAATAGCTTTTTTTGTCTTAAAGGGACAGTGTTGTATTTTGAGACAGGCTTGAATAAGCTAAGTAGCCAATTGGCAGAGGGTAGCATAATTTGTCTGATAATAGTATGGCAATAATAATACATTTTATTTTGTAAAGTGGTTTCTTGTATCAAACAACACAACAACATTTTCAGTCACCTCCTTGTCTGGAGGACAAGTGGATAAACAGGTTAATGTTAAGCCCTGCATGTTTTTTTTCCCAAAAGTCTCATGGAATGTAGGCCTACATTGAACACCACACATTGGCTGCTACTGTAGGATGAATGATAGAACAGCTATTTCAATGTTAAAATGTTATGAGATGCATTTTCTCCATAGTTTTTGATGGTAGGCCACTCTGGTAGGTCTACATTATGATCAAATAGCCACAGTAGCCTACTTGACCACTGTTTGAAACTGTACGAAGGCCAACAAAAATGCAGAAATGTCCATCCCCAACTACAACATTTTCCGTCTAGATAGAACTGCCAAAGGGGGCGGAGTTGCAATCTACTGTAGAGATAGCCTGCAGAGCGCTATCATACTATCCAGGTCTGTGCCCAAACAGTTTGAGCTTCTACTTCTAAAAATCCACCTTTCCAGAAATAAGTCTCTCACTGTTGCCGCTTGCTACAGACCCCCCTTAGCCCCCAGCTCTGCCCTGGACACCATATGTGAATTGATTGCCCCCCATCTATCCTCAGAGTTCGTACTGCTTGGTGACCTAAACTGGGATATGCTTAACACCCCGGCTGTCCTACAATCTAAACTAGATGCCCTCAATCTCACACAAATTATCAAGGAACCTAGCAGGTACAACCCTACATCCGTAAACATGGGCACCCTCATAGATATCATCCTGACTAATTTACCCTCTAAATACACCTCCGCTGTCTTCAACCAGGATCTCAGCGATCACTGCCTCATTGCCTGCGTCCGTAATGGGTCCGTGGTCAAACGACCACCCCTCATCACTGTCAAACGCTCCCTAAAACACTTTAGCGAGCAGGCCTTTCTAATTTACTTGGCACGGGTATCCTGGATGGATATTGACCTCATTCCGTCAGTAGAGGATGCCTGGTTGTTCTTTAAATGTGCTTTCCTCTCCATCTTAAATAAGCATGCCCCATTCAAAAAATTCAGAACTAAGAAACGATATAGCCCCTGGTTCACCTCAGACTTGACTGCCCTTGACCAGCACAAAAACATCCTGTGGCGTACTGATTTAGCATCGAATAGCCCCGGCGATATGCTACTTTTCAGGGAAGTCAGGAACCAATGTACACAATCAATTTCAAGCAGAAATTTGCATCCTGTAGCACTAACTCCAAAAAGTTTTGGGACACTGTAAAGTCCATGGAGAATAATAGCACCTCCTCCCAGCTGCCCACTGCACTGAGGCTAAGAAACACTGTCACCACCGATAAATCTACAATAATCGAGAATTTCAACAAGCATTTTGCTACGGCTGGCCATGCTTTCCACCTGGCTACCACTACCTCGGCCACCAGCTCTGCAACTTTCCCATGCCCCCCCCCCCCCCCCCCGCTTCTCCTTCACCCAAATTCAGACAGCTGATGTTCTGAAAGAGCTACAAAATCTGGACCCCTACAAATCAGATGGGCTAGACAACCTGGACCTGTTCTTTCTAAAAATTAGCTGCCGAAATTGTCGGAACCCCTATTACTAACCTGTTCAACCTCACTTTCGTTTCGTCTGAGATCCCCAGAGATTGGAAAACTGCCGCGGTCATCCCCTTCTTCAAAGAGGGTGACACTCTAGATCCAAACTGTTACAGACCTATATCCATCCTGCCCTACCTTTCGAAAGTATTTGAAAGCCAAGTTAACAAAAAGATCACAGACCATTTCGAATCCCACCGTACCTTCTCCGCTATGCAATCTGGTTTCCGAGCTGGTCATGGGTGCACCTCAGCCACGCTCAAAGTCCTAAACGATATTATAACCGCGATCGATAAAAGACAGGACTGTGCAGCCGTCTTCATTGACCTGGCCAAGGCTTTTGACTCTGTCAATCACCGCATTCTTATTGGCAGACTAAATAGCCTTGGTTTCTCAAATGACTGTCTCGCCTGTTTCACCAACTACTTCTCAGATAGAGTTCAATGGGTCAATTCGGAGGGCCTGTTGTCTGGACCTCTGGCAGTCTCTATGGGGGTGCCACAGGGTTCAATTCTCGGGCCGACTCTATTCTCTGTGTATATCAATGATGTCGCTCTTGCTGCTGGTGACTCTCAGATCCACCTCTACGCAGACGACACCATTTTGTATACATCTGGCCCTTCATTGGACACTGTGTTAACAAACCTCCAAACGAGCTTCAATGCCATACAACACTCCTTCGGTAACCTCCAACTGCTCTTAAACGCTAGTAAAACTAAATGCATGCTCTTCAATCGAACGCTGCTTGCACCCGCCCGCCCGACTAGAATCACTACTCTCGGCGGGTCTGACTTAGAATATGTGGACAACTACAAATACCTAGGTTTCTGTTTAGACCGTAAACTCTCCTTCCAGACTCACATTAAGCATCTCCAATCCAAAGTTACATCTATAATCTGCTTCCTATTTCACAACAAAGCCTCCTTCACTCATGCTGCTAAACATGCCCTCGTAAAACTGCCTATCCTACCGATCCTTGACTTCGCCGATGTCATTTACAAAATAGCCTCCAACACTCTACTCAGCAAATATGATGTAGTCTATCACAGTGCCATCCGTTTTATCACCAAAGCCCCATATACTACCCACCATTGTGACCTGTACGCTCTCGTTGGCTGGCCCTCACTACATATTCGTCGCCAAACCCACTGGCTCCAGGTCATCTATAAATCACTGCTAGGCAAATCCCCGCCTTATCTTAGCTCATTGGTCACCGTAGCAACACCCACCCGTAGTATGCGCTCCAGCAGGTATATCTCACTGGTCATCCCCAAAGCCAACACCTCCTTTGGCCGCCATTCCTTCCAGTTCTCTGCTGCCAATGACTGGAACGAACTGCAAAAATCTCTGAAGCTGGAGACTCTTATCTCCCTCACTGTCTTTAAGCATCAGTTGTCAGAGCAGCTTACCGATCACTGCACCAGTACACAGCCCATCTGTAATTTGCCCACCCAACTACCTCATCCCCATATTGTTGTTTATTTTGCTCATTTGCACCCCAATATCTCTATTTGCACATAATCTTTTGCACATCTATCACTCCAGTGTTAATACTAAATTGTAATTATTTTGCACTATGGCCAATTGATTTCCTTACCTCCATAACTTACTACATTTGCACACACTGTATATAGATTTTCTATTGTGATTTTCACTGTACGTTTTGTTTATCCCATATGTAACTCTGTGTTGTTGTTGTTTTTATCACACTGCTTTGCTTTATCTTGGCCAGGTCGCATTTGTAAATGAAAACTTGTTCTCAACTGGCTTACCTGGTTAAATAAAGGTGAAATAAAATAAAAACGTGCGCTGGAAGTTGCACAGAATTTTCACAATGTTCACAGCCCGTTCCATCTCATCCCAAAGATGGGTTGAGGTCTGGGGACTGAGCAGGCCACTCAAATTAACTAAATTCGCTGTCATGTTCCAGGCAATGTTTTTACACTCCTCAATTGTCCAGTGTTGGTGATCACGTGCCCACTGGAGCCGCTTCTTCTTGTTTTTAGCTGATAGGAGTAGAACCGGTGTGGTCGTCTGCTGCAATAGCCCATCCGTGACAAGGATCGACGAGTTGTGCGTTCTGAGATGCCGTTCTGCACACCACTGTTATACTGCGCCGTTAATCGTCTGTTTGTGGCCCGCCTGTTAGCTTGCACGATTCTTGTCATTCTCTTTTGACCTCTCTCATCAAAAAGCTGTTTTAGCTCACAGGACAGCCACTGACTGGATGTTTTTTTGTTTGTTGCACCAATCTCGGTAAACCCTTGACACTGTCGTGAAAATCCCAGGAGGGCGGCTGTTTCTGAGATACACGCCTGGCACCGACGATCATACCACGCTCAAAGTTGCTTAGGTCACTAGTTTTGCCCATTTTGACGTTCAATCAAACAGTAACTGAATGCCTTGATGCCTGTCTGCCCGCTTTATATAGCAAGCCATGGCCATGTGACTCACTGTCTGTAGGAGCGATACATTTTCGTGAAATTGGTGGTGTACCTAATAAACTGGTGTGTACATTGTACTATTAATTGGTGAGAGAGAGAGCCTGAGAGTCTGTCTATTTATTTTCCCTTTCGTACTTCAACTATTTGCCAGTAATATAACATTTGAAATGTCTCTATTCTTTTAAAACTTTTGTGAGTGTAATGTTTACTGTTTATTTCAGATTGTTTATTTCACTTTTGTTTATTGTCGATTCCACTTGCTTTGGCAATGTAAACATGTTTCCCATGCCAATAAAGCCCCTGGAATTGAATTGAGCGTCAAATATCACATTCCATTGTACATACCCACTCTATTCATGAATTGCGGCAAAGTTAGTTCCTGTTTCAGTCACGTCTTTGGTCACGTTTGCTTGGATCAAACCAGAATGATTGGTTGACAATAGAGCCTCCCACAATACAGGTGATGGCTGCATGATGAAGTAATATAGTCGCAAATCGGAACATTTTATTCCCATAATGCAACACCGCGGTGACCTGACAAAAGTGATCCACTCGACGCGCCCTATGTATTACCCTCGCTGTTTCCGCTGACTGACGAGACTTCAAATTTGTGCTTTGGGACTGTCATCCAAGGCTACGCATCTTCCAGGGGTACGTTTTATGAGCTGAAATGTGGTTTGAAATAAGATGATCTTTAATTTTTTTTGTGTGGATATGCTAACAGTATTTACAAAATTGATATACTTGATAATAGACTTTAAGCAGTGGTTTCATGTTTCGCTAGTTAGGTCATCAAGCTAGGCTATGTAAAACAATTGATGATGAATCGGTGGCCTCTGATGCGAACGATTGCTATTTGCAATATGTGTCCGGATTTTGGGCAGATGATTTAGAAATACAATTGTACTTTTAGTTAAAGACAACATTGTAATAATAATATAGGCGTTTGGCTACAAGACTAAACTTCGACAGTAGTGAGGTTATGGGAAACTACATCCTGATCCAGCACAGCAGCCATAGGCTATCCAACTTTGCTGCTATTATAAGTTGATGCGCTATTTGGCTATGATGCTCTCTTTTTTATTTACTTTTTGTTTTGTTTTTATTAGAGAACTTTAAACAAGATGTTTAGGTGCTGTTTAGATCAAAGGGCAACATTTGGAGACAAGTCAGTTATAACTACAAGTATCACTCATATTAAAGAGAGAAGTCATTAACCTCTATGTTATCTTGCAAGAATAATGTAAATGTTAATGTTTGTATTTGTGTGCGTTTGGGACTGCTTGAACAGCTACTTCAGCACCATAATAATGATGAAAAATATAAGAGTGGTCAAGAAGTAACCAGATTCTATAGCCTTTGATGAACTTGACCTTATATTCATGTGAATGGCAATGCTTTACACTTTTATCACAGTGACTGCCAATTGCATTTGGCCAATAGTCAGAATATCGCTTAAGCCTTAACCTTCTGAAATGGACCTTATAGCTTGCCTAAGAAGAAAGCAGACAGGCATCTTTGCGTTTGCTTTCAGTCTGAAGTTGGTTGTGCCAAATGATCGTTCCTATGCTACAATGAACCAAGCTTTGATTTCCCTTCAGCTGCTATGTGTAATTTAAGAGACAAACATATTTTGTCAACACAGCTAAGCTGACTCACTCAGTCACATTCCAGCAGTGCTTCTTGAATATGGTATTTTCTATACCAAAGTGGTAGTTTACCATACATTTCAGGTCTTTCAGAGTGTATAACTATGGCTCTGTGATGAGCTGTAATGTGTGACTGTAGGTACTCTCTCCTCTTTCATCTGTCTATTTAGGTCAGAAATGGAGGCTTTTAATTATAAACTAAACACATACATAGACTCCTGGATGGGTCCCAGAGGTAAGTGTTATTACTGTTTCATTACTGTATTTTAAATTACAGTATAGGAATTATATGAATAAATGCTTAATTATTAACATACAATTATTTATCACACTATATCTCCTCACAAAATGTTTGCATTGTGTGTTAATACATGCAGTGGATTGCACCAGGTCGTTTTGCACCTCCATGATTCTAGCATAACCTTTCCTGGAGTTAAACAAACATGCTTCGTAGTCACTGCCAATTCTCCCTCCAACTTAATTGTGTCCTTTTACCCTCTCCAACCAATATGCCTGCACTGCAGTGTAACTACCGCTCTCTGTGCTCTGTGCTATCTCACTGGAAAATAAATACAGTAAATATGGGAATAACGTGCAGAAAAGAGAGAGCATCTTACTGTATACTGTCAGGTATATATCAGGTTGTTCTCTGCCCATGTATTTCAGATGAGCGGGTTCAGGGATGGCTGCTTCTGGACAACTACCCTCCAACCTTTGCACTAACAGTCATGTACCTGCTGATCGTATGGATGGGGCCCAAGTACATGAGACACAGACAGCCGGTGTCTTGCCGGGGTCTCCTGTTGGTCTACAATCTGGGCCTCACGATCTTGTCCTTCTATATGTTCTATGAGGTAGGCAGGCTACTCCTGATCTGAACTGATATAGACATCCGAAGGATGTGTTGGTATCATCGCAATGCAACACCGCGGGCGGATGAGGGGAAGTGAGAGGATCGGATGACTGATAGGCATGGCTAAATGATTTTATATGCTAATGTTGTTGAAGGATTCTGTGAGGATTAGGGAAATTGTGATTCTGATTAGACAAAAATGGTGTCTTGCACTGAAGCCACCCCAGAAGACAATGCTGTGGGGGAGTGAGTGGGGCACAGCTGGTCTCTGACGGGATCATTGTTAACACAAACAAATCTCTCACCCAACATCAACACAGCCCTCAATTGTTTTCTGAAAACCTGCTGCTATTATTAGAAAGTTGAAGTCGTGACTTCTAATTCTGAAATGGTTGACATGATATACTGATAAACTGTCTGTATCCTCTGTGGATGTCTATGCTAGTAGTTGATTGCATTATCCCTAATTCTTGTATACGGTAATGAAACAGGAGGGAGAGTGAGCTGTCAATACTTTCTGTAGTGTAATCAGCCTCAAAATGTCATGATATAGTTATACTAATAATGGACAAAGTCTGTTCTCCATGCACCTGTAAGTCTAAAGTCTTTTCCGTTCTTACCACCCTGGCCTAATTGGCTCAATTTGGTCTGCATTGCATAAAAAGATTGGCTGTGCCCATGCTGTGTAAATCATTAAACTTGCTGATGCTGACATTTCCCCTGCTTCAGGGTGAACTTTTAGTCCTCTGAAATCAATGCCACCCGATTTAAATTAAAATACAAAGCAGTTGCTTGTTGTTGTCACCTGTCCAGGGCACTTAGAAATAGCATTTTCACAATGTAATAGGTGTGGTTTGACATGTTTAAAAAACCATACTGAATAGCAAACGACCAAGGGGCTGATTCAGACTTAGGAAATGTACGCCTTTCCTACACATGCCTTTCCTATGCATTTCTCAGTATGTTTGGTATTCAGACTTACCTTATTCAGTCGTGTAACGCATTCTGCAGGTGTGGCTACTTTGCACGCTCTGAATACATTGAATTCAACTGCTGAAAACCCTCCTACTTGCTGGCCGACAGATTTTCTTGTGGAGTTTTCATTCAATAGGGTTTTCAGTACATTTATCTTAAGCCATCCCTTTAAATACGGCTTACCTTTTTAGTTAGAATTTTGTCGACAGACTCACTAGAATATATCGAGATAACGGGTTCAGAATATTAGGGATCAATGAAAGAAAGCCATCTAAATATATGCATATTCGTCTCAGTTTCAGCAACAATTGGTAGATTTAAAAATACTCTGATCTTGTAGATTATTTAGGGTTAGGAAATTATTTATGAATCATAAAGAAATGGTTAGGGAGAGCCTTTACACACGAAAGAAAGAACTGTAATTTGATTCATTCTGAAAATGGCCACAGTCAGTTCTTCAACCCATGGTAATGTTGGAAGATTAGTGTACATTGATCTGGTACTGGTACTTCCTGTATATAGCTCCACAGTGATCTGGTACTCCCTGTATATAGCTCCACATTGATCTGGAACTGGTACTTCCTGTATATAGCTCCACAGTGATCTGGTACTGGTACTCCCTGTATATAGCTCCACATTGATCTGGTACTGGTACTCCCTGTATATAGCTCCATTCTTGTGTATTTTATTCCTCTTGTGTTACTATTTTCAAACTCTGCATTGTTGGGAAAGGCTCGTAAGCAAGCATTTCACTGTAAAGTCTACACCAGTTGTATTCGGCGCATGTGACAAATAACATTTGATTTGACATAGAATTATAATAGGAAGAATAGTGTACAATAGTAGGCTATACCCTCGTCTATTGCCTGTACTAACCATGGAAAAGTGGGATGACACGAACGAGTATTGTGCCATGCGTCGGGTTCAAACTGTTATGGCTTGGTCTGCTCTCTGCTCCATAATGATTTAATTAGCCTACGTTTCATTTATGTTTTATTTTATTTACAATTCCCTTATCGAAACGGATTACTAATTTACCTAGCTCTAATCAAGTTGTAAATTACAGTGCATGGAGAATGGAGTTCTTTCTATCTAAAAAAAATTAAGTACATGCTTTTTCCACTTGGAACCGACAGGTTGCTGTACATTATTCATGGTTTCTTCGCGCATTAAGGTAGTGGAATTATTAGGGAATTAAGTCAAGGTCTGAATACTGCGAATCTGTAAACACACCTCCGCCACACCTTCATTTATTCGATCTCCACCCCAAACGAATAGTGGGTGAATAGAATGCTATTCTCATGCTTAACTTCAAGGTCAGAGTACGCAGAGAGAGAGAAGTGCATAAAAAGGGAATTACGTCACATTTAACTCGGGTCAGAATTCCCCCCCAAGGGAATAGGCCTAACAGGTTAGTAGGTTTGTTTAGTTACTGTGGATACAAGCTGGCCACAATAAAGGTTTAGGTTTAGAAACAGATCCTGCCCTCACTCTGCATTTTAGATAGTCAATATTGATTGGAATGTGGGTCTTCATAAATGTCATGAATCAGCACTGTTCCACCTAAATCTATATGAACATTTACCACATATTTCCTTCGTTTTGAATTACATAGTAAGAATAAAGAAGATTTAGTATTAGTGTAGTAGTAATAAATGATGTATTATAAATAAAGGAAAACAGCCTAGTCTATGTTGTTGTGAATAATCGTTTTGCTAACACAGTCAAAGTGGCCCTGCAGCATTACATTTAAAACAACAACAGGCATAACAATGTCATTGTTGAAGTGAATAGTCACTCTCTGTGTTGAGACTTTTGTGTTGTTATTCGATGTGTCCTCTGCATGTACGAGATTACCCAGTTGAGTAGTGGAGCACAACATCTGCCAATCCCAGGCCTGTCCTTATTCTGCTATCATCCCCATAGGCGCATGCAGGGCAATCACTCTCCTGGTGCCACAATCATCGGATAATCCCACTGTATGCCTCGAAGTCATCAACATAATTAGCTCTCTGCTTTGCCCTGCTTTTTTACCATCCTGTTCTGGAATGGGTCCTGTCTCGAGGCAAATGCACTAAAATCCTGTGGCAAAATGTAATGTTCCTCAGAAAATGTTTTATTCAGTACAACATAAAAAGGGGGGTAATTCTGGCCTTGTGTAGTGCTCTGAGTTTGAGCACATAACACAGCTAGAATAATATACTTTGGGCGGCAGGTAGCTTAGTGGTTAAGAGCGTTGTGCCAGTAACCGAAAGGTTGCTGGTTCTAAACCCTGAGCCGACTAGGTGAAAAATCTGTCGATGTGCCCTTGAGCAAGGCACTTAACCCTAATTGCTCCTGTAAGTCGCTTTGGATAAGAGCGTCTGCTAAATGACTAAAATGTAAATGTAATCTGAATCTGGGCATGTCTTTACACGTGTTACATTTAACCCTTTGTTTTTGTCAGTTATTCAAGGCAGTGGTGGATAAAGGCAGAGCCATTTCCATCCATCCCAAATGAGATGAAATGTGTGAACAAGGGCTCCATTTAGTAACTGTGGCATCGCTGGTCTGCTCAACAACAATAAACAATGCAGAGTCACAATGTTGCAGTGGCAACAAAAAGGGTACTGATATTCTCTCTGGTAAAGGAGACTAAAATGGAGAGGAGGAGACTCTCAAAATTACTCAGGGATATAATATTACCCACTACTTGCTCTGTCCACGCCTGCAGCAAGTATGTGAAGCTAGCATCCTAAATGCCAATGTAAATTCTAACAGGTTTACAATCAGCTTTTGTATGGGAGAAAGCAAATTGATGTCACAAGTGTTTTTTTATTTGGATCTTATGACACTTGAAATACAATAATGAAATAAATGTGATATTACAATACAAGGGCAGTGAGGTATTAAGGTGATTCAACCTGTGTGAAGATGCCTAAGACATGACAATCTAGGTTTTTCTAAATCACCTTGTTCTCTGTCCCCAGATGGTGTCTGCTGTGTGGCACGGGGATTATAACTTCTACTGCCAAGACACACACAGTGCAGGAGAAACCGATACCAAGGTAAAGCAGTCTTACTCTATATCACCCCTCTGTTCACTTATATAGAATTTAATATAAAACAATCTGTGTTAGATTCAAAATGTGTATAGTATGTGGGGAAATGCATTGTCACCAGACACCAGCTTGACTTCACCCTTTCATTCATTCTCTTTGTGATATTTCCATATCCCTTAGCTCACTGCCAGAGATGCAAATAATAGCTTGACAACTAACTTCAAAGACAAATTAATTACCAGATCAATATGTACTGCGATACTTTGTTCTTTCCAACTACTTTTATTGATATTTTCTTGTCCTGGTGGCTTCCAATTCTACTGGTACAATTTATGTCAGCCAGTACCTGCAAATTCTAACAGATAACCAACTGGGCACAGACATCAGTTCAACGTCTAGTTTTGATTTACATTTGGTTGAGTTGTCAACTAGCATGAATTCAACTTGAAATCAACAACAAATGTAACCATGTCATTGGATTTAGGTTAAAAGTTGGGTGAAAAAAATATCAAATGCCCTTACGTTGATGACTTTTTGCATATCCAATCAGTTTTCCACATTGATTCAACATCATCACATAGATTTGTTTGGTTGAAATGACATGGAAACAAAGTTGATTCAACCATTTCCCCCCCTGTGGGAAGCCACAGTGTCAGACAGACAGTCTATTTAATCTGTGCTGCTGTCATCAGTAGTGAAATGTGTGATTGGATTGCAGTTCTACAGCAGGGTTTCTTAAACTCTGGGTCGGGATCCAAAGTGGGCCCTGGGTTTGTGAGAGGTGGGTCGTGAGTTCTGAGAATACATACAGTATATAATCACACACTATTTCTTCTTAATTTGGGTCGTTGGAGGATGATTTGGGTCACGGGAGGACGGTCAATTTCTCATTTGGGTCTCGAGCTGATAAAGTTTAAGAGCCCCTGTTCTATAGTGATTACAACTTGTAAAAGTGTACCCGCCGTCACAGCAGTGGATGATCATATTTTTATTTGTGTCCTTAATAGAGATTTCAAGAGCATTTCAGTACAGATGACAATTTTTGGTCCCTCAACACAACTTTTTTGGTCAAATGATTTTCACTGGCCATTGCTCATAAGGTGAAATACAAATCTGGCAATGTATGCCTCAGGAGAAACATTGAGTATGTCCTTGCAGGAAAGTGAACTACTAGAAAAAGTATTGTATTATTTTTTAGTCATTTAGCAGACGCTCTTATCCAGAGCGACTTACAGTTAGTGAGTGCATACATTTTCATACTGGCCCCCCGTGGGAAACGAACCCACAACCCTGGCGTTGCAAGCGCCATGCTCTACCAACTGAGCTACAGGGGACTAAATCTGAAAGCTTGACTCTTATACTTAGCTTTTTTTCTCATCTCAGATCATAAATGCGCTGTGGTGGTACTACTTCTCCAAGCTCATAGAGTTCATGGACACCTTCTTCTTCATCCTACGGAAGAACAACCATCAGATCACGTTTCTGCACATCTACCACCATGCTAGCATGCTCAACATCTGGTGGTTTGTCATGAACTGGGTGCCCTGTGGTCACTGTGAGTGTTCTAACACAATATTCCCTTTCTATCCTCAACACTGTGGAATAACCAAGTCAGTTTACACAATGAATAATTCAGAACCACTAAAGTCAAATCCACTGAGCTTTAGGTGAACCTTTCTACGCAATTCCTGAAATAGGCTAGGACAGCCTATATACCTGGTATAGCTGCCTAAATACATGGTATATACTTTTTTAAAGTAGCCATACAGGAGCTTTAGAGTACATGTTTTTCTTGAATTGATTCTGTGACTGAGATACTTTCAAGTGAAGTTGATCCGTTGTTAGAATCAAGTGTGAATTGAACCTACTGTTATTTCAGGACTGCACAGCATGTTTTTTGTTCTGTGAAATACTGTACCCTCACCTCGTAATTGCTTTACCTCTCACTGTGGCACACAGTGTCCTAGAATAGGACACTCTGTCCTGTCTTACAGCTCTCTGTGTTTTACAGAGGACTCTCTGGGAATGAGAATTAACACCTCAGCTGCTTTCTACTGTATACCATTGTCACTACTATTCATGACTGTTTAATTCTCTTTTTTCTCTCATAGTAATGTATTAATCATTACATTTTACATTTACATTTACGTCATTTAGCAGACGCTCAAAGAAAGTTTTAAAACAGACATGAAATGACAATAATTGTAATTTTGTCATTCATTGATGTCTAATGTAGATTAATCATCTACCCCCTATCTTCTGTCTCTGCCTCAGCCTACTTTGGTGCCTCCCTGAACAGCTTCATCCATGTCCTGATGTACTCTTACTATGGGCTCTCTGCTGTCCCGGCCTTGCGGCCCTATCTATGGTGGAAGAAATACATCACACAAGGACAGCTGGTGAGCCTGCATTTCCACATGCATTGTTTAAAACCCTCAGAGATGGACTTTCACGTCCATAGTAATCATCCAGTGTATAGTTCATCCAATCTCAGGGTCTTCGTGAATGTGACAAAGGCCCCATGAACTGTGGGCCATTGGTACAGAGTGAAAGTGGCATGTGTGTTCTAATCCCTCTTGTCTTCTGCACTGTATTGGATGGCAATATTTACCATGGATGGAGCAGTGTTGTAAGTGCACTGAGTTACAGAAATATGTATTTTGGAGATTTGATGTTGACTTAGTTTACAAACAAGTCATTCCAGTTTTGTCTCGTTTACTCTCTAGATTCAGTTCTTTTTGACCATGTCCCAGACGATATGTGCAGTCATTTGGCCATGTGGTTTCCCCAGAGGCTGGCTGTATTTCCAGATATTCTATGTCGTCACGCTTATTGCCCTTTTCTCAAACTTCTACATTCAGGTGAGCAAATATAAAACCCTTGTATGAATTAGACATACTGTATTATTATTTCAATGAATTATGGTGTTGTGAAGTATTTTATATTGCCCTGATGGTGACAGGGTTAAATATAACAGTGCATTGCTGTCAACAGTCATTTTGGGGGGGGGGGGGGGGGGGGGGGGTTTCTTTGATTTTTAGCACATTCTAATGTGTTGACTCCTTCCCTCTGTTTTTAGACTTACAAGAAACACCGTGTTTCACAAAAGAAGGAGTATCATCAGAATGGCTCTGTTGCTTCATTGAATGGCCATGCGAATGGGGTGACACCCACGGAAACCATTACACACAGGAAAGTGAGAGCGGACTGAAGCTTGAATAATGTTCCAGGCCTAACTGTATGTCATGTCGCTAGAAGAGATGGGATAATACATTTCTTCATGAGGATTACTAATGAAGAAATGTATTAAAGAGTCTAGCTAGTTTATTCACAATAGACAAGACATGTTTATCTGAAAGAGATTCCTAACATTTTGCACACCGCAACCTGTTATTATTCATATTGAATCAAAGTTAATTAGAGTTACTTAACAAGCATAGCAGAGGGAGTACAGTACAGCACAGTAGCCCCAGAGACCCACTTCCTCTTAATGCTGCACAAGATGTTCAACTTTGTCTGTCTTCAGTGTGGTGGGGACAAAGCTTTAATCAACCTTGACCCATACAGAAATAATAACTTATTTCCCATGTTTTAATTCACAACATATTCACTTGTCTACATGCTTGTCCATGAGGGGAAGAAAATCTATTTTTGGGATTCCGTTTTGTAAAAGGTACTTTATCTGTTTTTTTCTGTCAATATATTTGATTTGATCACGAGGTCATACAATCATTGATAAGTATGCAGAAGAGCTGCTTCAAAAAAATACATAAACTGTACAATATCAACATAAATAATTAGATACTAACTGATTTGTGTTCCAAAATGGCTTAGCATACAAGAAAGGAAAGAGAAAAAACAAACGTGTGGCAACATTAGTATCTAAAATACCAGTAATAGTGATCTTTTAATTTTTTACATCATGTGTCCAAATCATTCCCACCCTTCCCAATGTTCCTCAATGATTTGATTTTCTTTGTATCCTCTTATTGAGGTTCCCGTCATGATTATATACACACAAGTACAAATGTAAACTCAGGTACATTATCAATCAGACACCGGTTTCGGTTTCAACAAAAGAAAGAAAAGGTTGCCATGTCTTATAAAATAAAGTTGTGGATCCACTTCGTGTACATTTAATTTTCTCCAAAGTGAGACTTTGCAACATGCTATTAACCCACTGATTGTAAGATGGAGTGGTTGGGTTTTTCCTGTGGGTCAAAATCAGGTTTCTGGCAATCAGACAGGCATATGCCAAGGCATTTGCTTCCACCTTTGCTATTCCAGAGCTAGCATCAGTTGTCCCAGATAGATATTAGTGGGTCAGGACTTATAGATACTTGTGTTATATTGGAAATTGCATTAGAAATAGCATCCCATAGCCTTTGAGTTTTGGACACTCACACAAGCAGAACATATCTGCATGAGTTGCAGTGTTAGAACTTAGCCAGCTTGGCATTTGTGTAGTAACTTCTATGTATCACTTTAAAGTCTGTAACAACATGACTGGTACAAAATAGAAATAGAAGGGCCTTTTTAAAGTATATTTTTTTATCCCAACTGTTAATTGGGGGTTCACATCGAAGCTGTGAAGCCTATTGTTATTCTTTGAATGTTCTTTTTTCTTGACATGGCCAAATAACTCAAGCATAGATTGGGAACTTTTTTTCTAATTTGGCACACAGAAGCTAGAGGCCATCAAATCAAATGTATTTGCCACATGCGCCGAATACAACAAGTGTAGACATTACAGTGAAATGCTTACTTACAAGCCCTTAACCAACAATGCATTTTTTTAATATTTTTTATTTTATTTTAAGTGTTAAGTAAAAAAAAAAAAAAAGGAAATAACTAAAGAGCAGCAGTAAAATAAAATAACAGTAGGGAGGCTATATACAGGGGGGTACTGGTGCAGAGTCAATGTGCGGGGGCACCGGCTAGTCGAGGTAATTGAGGTAATATGTACATGTGGGTAGAGTTAAAGTGACTATGCATAAATAATAAACAGAGTAGCAGCAGCGTAAAAGAGGGGGGTGGGGGCAGTGCAAATAGTCCGGGTAGCAATGGTTAGCTGTTCAGGAGTCTTATGGCTTGGGGGTAGAAGATGTTGAGAAGCCTTTTGGACTTAGACTTGGCGCTCCGGTACCGCTTGCCGTGCGGTAACAGAGAGAACAGTCTATGACTAGGGTGGCTGGAGTCTTTGACAATTTTGAGGGCCTTCTTCTGACACCGCCTGGTATAGAGGTCCTGGATGGCAGGAAGCTTGGCCCCAGTGATGTACTGGGCCGTACGCACTACCCTCTGTAGTGCCTTGCGGTCGGAGGCCGAGCAGTTGCCATACCAGGCGGTGATGCAACCAGTCAGGATGCTCTCGATGGTGCAGCTGTATAACTTTTTGAGGATCTGAGGACCCATGCCAAATCTTTTCAGTCTCCTGAGGGGGAATAGGCTTTGTCGTGCCCTCTCCACGTCTGTCTTGGTGTATTTGGACCATGATAGTTTGTTGGTGATGTGCACACCAAGGAACTTGAAGCTCTCAACCTGTTCCACTACAGCCCCGTCGATGAGAATGGGGGCGTGCTCAGTCCTCTTTTTTTCCCCTGTAGTTCACAATCATCTCCTTTGTCTTGATCACGTTGAGGGAGAGGTTGTTATCCTGGCACCACACGGCCAGGTCTCGGACCTCCTCCCTATAGGCTGTCTCATCGTTGCCGTCAGCAAACTTAATGATGGTGTTGGAGTCGTGCCTGGCCATGCAGTCATGGGTGAACAGGGAGTACAGGAGGGGACTGAGCACGCACCCCTGAGGGGCACCCGTGTTGAGGATCAGCGTGGCAGATGTGTTGTTATCTACCCTTACCACCTGGGGGCAGCCCGTCAGGAAGTCCAGGATCCAGTTGCAGAGGGAGGTGTTTAGTCCCAGGATCCTTAGCTTAGTGATGAGCTTTGTGGGCACTATGGTGTTGAACGCTGAGCTGTAGTCAATGAACAGCATTCTCACGTAGGTGTTCCTCTTGTCCAGGTGGGAAAGGGCAGTGTGGAGTGCAATAGAGATTGCATAATCTGTGGATCTGTTGGGGCGGTATGCAAATTCGAGTGGGTCTAGGGTTTCTGGGATAATGGTGTTGATGTGAGCCATGACCAGCCTTTCAAAGCCCTTCATGGCTACAGACGTGAGTGCTACGGGTCGGTAGTCATTTAGGCAGGTTATCTTAGTGTCCTTGGGCACAGGGACTATGGTGGTCTGCTTGAAACATGTTGGTATTACAGACTCAGTCAGGGACATGTTGAAAATGTCAGTGAAGACACTTGCCAGTTGGTTAGCACATGCTCGGAGTACACATCCTGGTAATCCGTCTGGCCCTGCGGCCCTGTGAATGTTGACCTGCTTAAAAGTCTTACTCACATCGGCTACGGAGAGCGTGATCACATAGTCCATGTGTAACTTGAATGAAAAATAATGGCACCGATTGGCCTATAAGTGGCACTGTTACAAGCAGTCTCACTTAAACCCTCATATCCGCAGCCCCGTTTGACCTGGAGACCTTGTATGTAGGTGTCTTTCCTCATGCTGAACGAATTTGCCTCAAGGACCCATAAGGTCTGTCAGGATAGATTTTCCAAATTTGGCATGTAGGCCCATGGTACATGTCTTAATATAGTTTAAGAAAAGCTAAGGGATTGGTTAAGAGATGGCTGAGTTATTGATACATCTGGAAATCAGATTTGACTTGTCCATTTAAATCCTTTGTAAACCCACTTCACAATGGCCTATCAAATTGAAACTGTTTAGGGTCATCAAATACATTACCATGATGAAGCATGTTAAGTTTGTCATTTAAATATTACAAAAGAAAAACTATTAACAATTCACTTTTTTGACTATGCAACGCTAACGCTTAAAATAATCATTAAAACATCTCATGAACTAAAAGTCAGATTCACTCCAAATTTGGTCTTTGGACTCATCACAATAGTCCCTAAAGAGTTTGAGAAAATAGTGTTGATGCAGTCAAAGATGGCCACACTATACCAGTAGATGCATATTAGCAAATACGCGAATATGCTAAGAAATAAAAAATGACAAGGGTTTGAGTGAGATAACTAACTGGTGTCTCCAAGTGGCCACACACCTGTCCAAAATGTGCACAGTTCTTAAGTAATTTCAATGCACTTTTATGACTCAAAAAAGTCTTCAACTATGAGGTGCTTTTTTAAGCTCCTAACTGTGCCGTTGAGGAACTAGACCAATCACATGTAGTTGTTTTTGTTTGGAACGCAACCATGCATCCCCGCCCTCACACAATTACTGTTTTTGTTTACGTAATCCAAGAAATAGTCCATTATAAATCGCAATCTGGGTCAGGTGAGCATCATTTGAAAGCCTGTTCTATTGCCAACATGACTAGCTAAGTTATAAAATACGATATTACAGTGTGAGGCTTTCACAATGCAATTCAGGGAAACATCCATTTTGATGCACATAGAAAGGAGACATGAGTCCATTCAGGTGTGTGCCGTGGTGAATTTTCTTCACAATAGACAAACATAGGGTCATTCTGTTCAGAACAACCAAGGGTATGACGCCATGTCATCTTGTAACTGTACATCAAACATAGTGATCATAAACATTGACACTGTACATGACATGAGTTTTATTATACGGAAATGTGACGTGCACATTTGGACTCACGTGTGTTTCACTTGCTTGTATGACATCAAAGCGGTATTTATTATAATCCTCAATGTCTCGTCTTTCAAAATACAGAGTCCTCTTAATTTACAGCATTTCCCTCACTCAGACAACAAGGAATGTGCAAAAGTTGCCCAATTAGCCGGAGGGATGTGGGCGTCATGGACGTCCCACACTGAATTTGGTGTTGATATCTCAAAAAACAAGGAAACTATTAACAACTCATTCTTTGCATATGTAACGCTAATGCTGAAAATCATCATCTCCTCATCTTCACTCCATATTTTGTATTTAGACTCATGATTGCACATAAAGAGATTGTTCCACACCGATCGAGTGCTTGCTTTGTTATCCAACTGATCTTGTCCTTTCTGTCATCCTGTGAACTCCGTTCACTGCTGCTCACAGCTATATTTGAAATTTTGAATCCTAAATCCTGTTCCCAAGTTTATCTCAATGATTGTAGGCATGGAGTGCCAAAGGTTAATAATTTTGAATACACAGCTGATAGACATCATTTTGCAGTTGGGTAGGTTTTCAATATAACATCCAAAATGGTGTGAGATGGTACCTGTGGGAAATATAAATACAGTGCATTCGGAAAGTATTCAGACCCCTTGACTTTTTCCACATTTTGTTACGTTACAGCCTTTTTCTAAAATTGATTAAATAGTGTTTTTTTCCCTCATCAATCTACACACAATACCCCATGATTACAAAACAAAAAGAGGTTTATAGAAATTTTTGCAAATGTATTAAAAATAAAAAACTGAAATATTACATTTACATAAGTATTCAGACCCTTTACTCAGTACTTTGTTGAAGCACCTTTGGCAGCGATTACAGCCTTGAGTCTTCTTGGGTATGACACTACAAGCTTGGCACACCTCTATTTGGGGAGTTTCTCCTATTCTTCTCTGCAGATCCTCTCAAGCTCTGTCAGGTTGGATGGGGAGCGTTGCTGCACAGCTATTTGCAGGTCTCTCCAGAGTTGATTGGGTTCAAGTCCGGGCTCTGGCTGGGCCACTCAAGGACATTCAGAGACTTGTCCCGAAGCCACTCCTGTGTTGTCTTGGCTGTGTGCTTAGGGTCGCTGTCCTGTTGGAAGGTGAACCTTCACCCCAGTCTGAAGTCCTGAGCGCTCTGGAGCAGGTTTTCATCAAGGATCTCTCTGTACTTTGCTCCGTTCATCTTTCCCTCGATCCTGACTAGTCTCCCAGTCCGTGCCACTGAAAAACATCCCCACAGCATAAAGCTGCAACCACGATGCTTCACCATAGGGATGGTGCCAGGTTTCCTCCAGACGTGACGCTTGGCATTCAGGCCAAAGAGTTCAATCTTGGTTTCTTCAGACCAGAGAATCTTGTTTCTCATGGTCTGAGAGTCTTTAGGTGCCTTTTGGCAAACTCCAAGCGGGCTGTCATGTGCCTTTTACTGAGGAGTGGCTTCCGTCTGGCCGCTCTACCATAAGGGCCTGATTGGTGGAGTGCTGCACAGATGGTTGTCCTTCTGAAAGTTCTCCCATCTCCACAGAGGAAATCTGGAGCTCTGTTCGAGTGACCATCGGGTTCTTGGTAACCTCCCTGACCAAGGCCCTTCTCCCCCGATTGCTCCGTTTGGCCAGGCAGCCAGCTCTAGGAAGAGTCTTGGTGGTTCCAAACTTCTTCCATTTAAGAATGATGGAGGTCGCTGTGTTCTTGGGAACCTGCAGATTTTTTTGGTACGCTTCCCCAGATCTGTGCCTTGACACAATCCTGTCTCGGAGCTCTACAGACATTTCCTTCGACTTCATGGCTTGGGTTTTGCTCTGACATGCACTGTCAACTGTGGGACCTTACATAGACAGGTGTGTGCCTTTCCAAATCATGTCCAATCAATTGAATTTACCACAGGTGGACTCCAATCAAGTTGTAGAAACATCTCAAGGATGATCAATGGAAACAGGATGCACCTGAGCTCAATTTCGAGTCTCATAGCAAAGGGTCTCAATACTTATGTAAATAAGGTATTTCTGTTTTTATTTTTAATAGATTTGCAAGAACTTCTAAAAACCTGTTTTCACTTTGTCATTATGGGGTATTGTGTGTAGATTGATGAGGAAAAACATTAATTTAATCAATTTTAGAATAAGGCTGTAACGTAACAAAATGTGGGGTCTGAATTCTTTCCGAATGCACTACCGTTCAAAAGTTTGGGGTCACTTAGAAATGTCATTGTTTTGGAAAGAAAAGCAATTTTTTTGTCCATTAAAATAACATAAAATTGATCAGAAATACAGTGTAGACATTGTTAATGTTGTAAATGGCTATTGTAGCTGGAAACAGCTGATCTTTAATGGAATATCTACATTGGCGTACAGAGGCCCATTATCAGCAACCATCAGTCCTGTGTTCCAATGGCACATTGTGTTTGCTAATCCAAGTTGATCATTTTAAAAGGCTAATTGATCATTAGAAAACCCTTTTGCAATTATGTTAGCACAGCTGAAAACTGTTGTGCTGATTAAAGAAGCAATAAAACTGGCCTTCTTGAGACTAGTTGAGTATCTGGAGCATCAGCTATTGTGGGTTTGATTACAGGCTCAAAATGTCACACCATTTTGTCTCCAAATATCAAAAGCTTTCTCTGCAAGGGATGGTGGAAATAGCCTACAAACTAAAGAGGAGTTGGTAAGAATATCTCTAATATCTAGGTTCAGCCTTAGGTTATTCCATATATTGAGAGTTTGTCTAACTAGGTCATTCTTACTGAAGGTAGCAAATGGAGCTGGTACAGGAGCGCATACGATAGCTCTTAATGATGTGGCCATACAGGATTTGGATTGTATGATTGCCCCTGGAGTTGAATCCAAAACATGATATTACGAGTGTTTGCAGCCCAATAATATTTTTGAAAGTGAGGGAGCCCCAAACCCCCTAGTTCTTTTAGATTTTGCAGTATGGCTTTACGGATATGTGGCTTTTTATTATTCCATAAAAAGTCTGACATCATTGTGTCCAGCACCTTAAAAGTTTTAGGTACAGCAATTGGTATACACCGGTAAAGGAGGTACTTTCTATCTCAAATCACCCCTGGAATGTTACTACGGTCAGGTTCCTCTGCATGTCTGTGATAAGTTTAATTACTCCTATTTAACATGAGCTATGTATTCGTCGTCTGGAGCCAAGTAACTACCATGTGCACAGTGTCAAATGTATCCAGTAAGTAACTTTATCCAGTGAGTATGGCAACTCTCCTTAGAGAGGTTCACTTTCATTGTATGCATTGTATATTCATGACTCAGGAGAGCTATAGCTCAAAACCAGTTGCAATAATAGCTTTGTCTGTTGTCCATCAGTTGTTCAGGTTTGAAAGTATTTGCCATCAAATGGCACTGATCAGAACAACGAGTTCTGTGAATGAGAAATATTAGAAATTGTAATTTATATTTTAGGTCTTGCTTTAGATATTGCCGTTGTTGTAGCAATAGTTTACGTACGAGGACATTTTATGAGAGCCCTAATCTCTCATGAACAGATGCAATATTTTAGTTATGGGTGTCTGAGATTGAGAGCCCTACCTACTGCACAATACTATTCCTCTACAGTAGCAATTTAGTTTCCATCTAATGTTTCCCAATTTGTATATTTATGACCTACTTTATTGCAACATATTATGCAGCAAAAATTACACTGATAATGTCATGGATTGTGTTAAAGAATATATGAAGTAGATAAGTGTGTCCACTCAACCCTCAAAATTCAGCCTCTGATATGACATACATTCTCAGTATCTCTCTTTACCCAAAGTCACCCTAGTATTACTGGTATTATCTGTACGCTTTGAATTTCAACCTCAACTCCATGGAACGCAGAAAATAATAAAAACATGTAGATGTATAAACTAAACTTACAATTCTGTATCATATTTAATATTGTTTGTATATATATGCATGGTTCATGCTGTGTTTTAAACCCACACTTCTCTCTTACGCTCAAGTGTTTGCCTCCTTGTTTTCACTCGTTAGATTGAGTCAGGCTACAAGTTACATCAAGCCATGACGTTTGAATGTGACTTGTGTTTTCTCCAAAGCGTTGCCTTAATAGATGTTGCTACTTATGTTTGTACATGTTTAACTTGTTCCCTTAATTATGTTGTATTGTAGCACACATATGCCTTAATTATAAAATTCAGGGGCCAAATCACCAACTTATGTTGTAGAGATGTCTCGCTTTGAAAGCCATTTACAGCCACTTACCACTGAAAAGTGGAAACGCTTCTCTATGTTAGCTGTTTGAATTATGTAATCAAATGTTGAAATGTTCTCAGATGACAAGTTGAGAAAGAAACAACAGCATGACAACATTCTCATGTCCTCCCAATCTGTGAATGGACTGCAAGATCAGATTTGTATCTACAGTAGTCTAGTCTGTAGAAATATTATCAGCTTTCTAACAGTGCAAGTAAAGCCAGCCTCGAAGCTGTTGCATTTGTAATGTCACAGATTGGAATGAATAAAATCATGAATGTTTCGTCTGTATCTCCTGTGGTGTATTTCAGGCATCGTTCTAAAGCACTCTAATCAAGCCAGTACTGTTTCCTCAATAGCACCAGGATCTTATCACCCTCAGGGCACATTCCAATTATCACTTACAATGATATTTCCTATCTAGGTCTTTCACTCCTTGCTATTATTAAGCCAGTTATCATACAGTAAGCCTATTATTTAAATATATATACATATCACCCCATAAGTAATCATAATTTGAAGTTTATGGGGGTTGTCATGTCACAAATCCTAGATTATTTATTCCGCTGTTCTTGGATGCTAATCTTTCCTGGTATGTGAACAAACTATCACGTAGGGGAATACTCTCTTTTCAATCAATGGGTTATAAAAATGATGGCTCTGAAGAGGATGAAAAAAATCAACAGGATTGGAAAACATGCCAGTGTTATGACGCACATTTATGAGGACACACCAGAACGACACCTGGACAACCATCAAAGGTCATGTGAAAATATGATTTTACTATTAAATTCACCATTATCATTTTAAGCTGTTATGCATTCCACCATCAAGTCCATTTAGATAAATATCATTAAAGAGAGCCTTTACTACGATTTTTGTATTTTACATATTTTGTAATCAGATTTTTTCTTTTCTTCATCTAAATCCATTTCAGACCTGGGTTCCTAGAGTATGTAATAGGTGGATTATGTGTGCTCTGGTCAAGAAAAGTGACTTAGAATTATGAAATAATTGAGTTTGGGATGGGAAAGTGTTGTATTATGATTGGGGTTGTGTAAGAGAAAATCCATCAGTGTTCTGCTTTTGTTGTTGGTGTGCAAGCACACTTTACGCCTTATAGTGATAAGAAAAACATCTACACATAGTTCCCACATTTGTTTATTCCAGTTGAGTTAACAGATGAGAAAACAGCTTACTAGAGAATTAACAAAAACAGTCAAAATATTCATTGTTGGAAAAGGGTGAAAAATCTCCTATTATTGACATTTTATGTCATCATACTGGACATCTATCCAGTCTTTAAAAGAAGAATCAGTATAATTATTTTTTGTTTGCTGTGACAGCCATAGACATAATGGCTATGTGGCACACACACTACGTTTAGAATCAGATGCAGGTTGATTGGTATACATTCATTCAAAATCATAGTTCAGCCCAAAACCAACAGGCAAAGAAATATGCATTTAGTGTTGTGTAAACTTTTGGGTGGTTTCTACTTCAGTAGTGACGTATCTCTTCTCTCTAGGCTGCCCTAGAGTGGGCGTTCAGAAAATGCTGTATAGCTTTTCACACGTGCAAAGAAGAAAGATGCGTACATCTGGTCCAAGTCGAAGGCAGTGACAACCGTTTCTCCCGTGGATCTAAAAAAACATTCAAATCACATTTATGCTGCTTTAGGAGATGGATACCTGAGAGCTCAATGAAAAGTTACATTCCCAATCACTTTTCTCTCTTGCAATGACATTCATTGAATGAATGCTGTCAAATCAAAACCCTAACTACCCAGTGTATTACCTGTAGTTGATGTGGCAGGAATGGTGAATCCAATTCAGCTTGTTGAAGCTCTGGCGCCCGCCAGACGACAGCTGCAGTCCCACATGAAAGCTGTGCTCTGTCTCGAGTGCCGCTGGGTTCCGCCGGCAAAACCGAGAGTTTCTCTGGTACTCTGCCACCTTCTGTCAAGAGAGAACACGCACACAGGGATCCGCAGTCAGAACTGAATAGCCAAAGCACTCTTCAATCATCTGTGGACAATGACGTACAGTATTTTATTTTCTCCTATTCTGTATCCAGCACTGCACCAGTTGCACCAGTTAATGGGTGAGGAAACTGCCTATTTCGTTGGGTTTAAGGTATAACAGGAATGGAAAATATGCAAATACCTTCCCACATCAATTCATCCATGTCCAATGCTGTAACTTCTCTCACTCACCTCTTCTTTTCTCTTAGAGACGACAACAAATACTTTGGTTTGATTGTCTGTGTCCTGCGACAGACGGTAATGACCACACATAATGGACTCCACCCTGTGTAAAGGGAAAAGGAAAGCCATGAATGTTACAAATCCAACCGTTGTGACCTTCTAAAACAAATTTTTCCCTCAAATGTGTTACTCCAGACTTGGATGCCAGTGTATGTTGCATTCTAAATACCTGGTGTTCCTGCTACGCAGACGAGGAACAGTGACCATTGGGTCCTCAGGTGTGGTCAGCATCATGACTTGGCCATCAGGGAAGAAACGCAGATATCTGGGGATACAAACAGTATAGCTAGTCTTGTCCGACTGTACGGTCATTAGCATGTCATAACATTTTACATTTAGTCATTTAGCAGACGCTCTTATCCAGAGCGACTTACAGTTAGTGCATACATTATTTTTTTATCGAACCCACAACCCTGGCGTTGCAAACGCCATGCTCTACCAACTGAGCTACATCCCCTGCCGGCCATTCCCTCCCCTACCCTGGACGACGCTGGGCCAATTGTGCGCGCCGCCCCATGGGTCTCCCGGTCGCGGCCGGCTACGACAGAGCCTGGATTCGAACCAGGATCTCTAGTGGCACAGCTAGCACTGCGATGCAGTGCCTTAGACCACTGCGCCACTCGGGAGTACATAACATAACAAGGACACCAGTGACTGACTGAAGCACCGACCTGTAATACTCCACCTGGTGCCAAGCCCTGTAGAATCCATCAAGGGACTCCTCTCCCTGACGGATGTATGCCGTTTTGCTGATGTAAACACCTGCAAAATCAACATTGAATACCATATATTGAATTTCCCAAACATAACGAGCATCTGATAAAATCGGACCAATCTAGTTTTAGCTATGCAACTTTTGCTAAACGTGCCAATTGTGCATTGATATTGAGAAAATAGAGAAGTATATGAAACAAATCCACTCTCTTATGTTAGAGTTTTTCTTTCTCTAAGGATGATAAATAAGTGATGTTCCTTAGTGTTTACCATCAAAGCGCACACGTGGCCTCTCAAGAAACATTTCCCTCCAGGAGTTGAAGGGCACCAGTTTGGTACAGCTCCGGCCCCACACTCTTAGACAGGCCAAACGCCAAATCTCTGGGTCCCTGAGGAGAAATCAACACCAAGGGCATAACAATCTAGGTTTCATTTGAAAAAAACAATACATTATTCAGGAGCCTGTTTTAATGCAGTGTATGGACCAGTGTTTCACAGCACTAAAAAGTTCAGCATGAATTTAAATGAATCAAAACCATGTTTGTGGAAAGTATATTTAAAATATGTTGGATTTGTAATGACTGGTCTGACCTAGCACAAATATAGAAGCCTCTACAGACTAGGGAGAGCTGCTCGAGGGCACGCAGGTCCAGATCACTGGACACAACCCAACGGAAGATGTATATCAAGACCTCTGGGGGCAGGGCTGTGGACAGAAACCCAAAGGAACAGACTGACAGTGAGACAGCTTATGTACTGTATAGAAGTCCTTCAAAGTTTGTGTAAAGGCAAACCAGACAAAGTCCAGTATACTAATCGAGTACTGCAAAGCCAATATTCTCCCAGACAGTGGTTCATTGAGTGGTTTATTGAAATGTTTCAATCCTGACCAAGATTTTTTTTTACATTTTTAGTCATTTAGCAGACGCTCTTATCCAGAGCGACTTACAGGAGCAATTAGGGTTAAGTGCCTTGCTTAAGGGCACGTCGACAGATTTTTCACTTAGTCGGCTCGGGGATTAGAACCAGCGACCTTTCGGTTACTGGCACAACACTCTTACCCACTAAGCTACCTGCCGCCCTTATCCCAGTGGGATTGAAACATTGTATGTGGGTGCGTCTTAATAAACCACTGTGGGAGCATGAGAGTAGCCAACATAACTTTTTTTAACGTGCTTGGGTGTGTGGATTTTTCCTAACTATTGCATAAGCTCTACCTGAGATGTGCATCTGAGTCATCTCCACCTCAGGAACACATATCTTCAGAGAGTTGTCTTGCAGAGTGAGCTGCTGATGGAAGTAGGCCAGTAGATCCTCTATTTCACCATCCATGTCATTCTCATTGCTAGGAAACAGATATGCAGTATCATTCACATGATATGACTTGTATGGAAAAGAGGTGTGACTTTCAGTATGAAGTCTTCATTGTAGTGTTACTGTATACCACCATATAAAGACTTACCCACCATCTGGATCAGGAGAACGACTGTAGTTGATTTTAAACTCAATGTCAGGCACAATCTGCATTGCCCTGCGATAGTACTTAATTGCTGCAAATTAGGGAGGGAAAAAAAGTTTAGCTATGCTTTTGTGTAAAACCATTATTCCCAATCCCAACTACAGCCACACAAGAATTCCATTCAAGTCATGGTACCAATATTAACATTTCAAATCATACTTTGCTTTTAAAATCATACTTACGGATGATTTAAACATGATGTGTAAAAAATGCTAAATGGTACCATGACTTGAATGAGATTTATGCCACAAATGCTAAAATGTTAGCATTTGGAAACGGTGCCAGGGAAATAAAACCAAAGCATTGATTGCTGTCATACCTTGTCCATAGACTACTTACTAGGTAAGGAAACCAATGTGTCATTTTGTAATTTGGGTGAACTATCCATTTAAAAGGTCAATCACATCATACTCAGACAAAATAGAAATTACATTTTACACATTTAGCAGACGCTCTTATCCAGAGCCAGTTAGTGAGTGCATAAATTTTTTTTTTTTCTTCCATACTGGCCCGCCTTGGGCTTAGCCTATCTTGTCTCACAGACATACCTTCATAAACAGCTCCATTCTCTTCTTCCTCAACAGCTTTTAGGAACAACTCTCTGGCCTAAGACAAAGAAACAAAAGTTGGGAACGATAGTGAAGATGATGCTGATGGCAGGTAGTAATATCTGGTGTAAAAATATAAAAAATTAAAACTCAACATGCAACAATTTCAAAGATTTTACTGCGTTACAGTTCATATAAGGAAATCAGTCATTTGAAATAAATTCATTAGGCCCTAATCTATAGATTTCACATGACTGGGAATACAGATATAATCTTCTTTTTTTTTTTTAAGTAGGGGTGTGGATCAGAAAACCAGTCAGTATCTGGTGTGCCTCATGCAGCGCGACATCTCCTTCGCATAGAGTTGATCAGGCTGTTGACTGTGGCCTGTGGAATGTTGTCCCACTCCTCTTCAATGGCTGTGCGAAGTTGCTGGATATTGGCGGGATCTGGAACACGCTGTTGTACACATTGATCCAGAGCATCCCAAACATGCTCAATGGGTGACATGTCTGGTGAGTATGCAGGCCATGAAAGAACTGGGACATTTTCAGCTTCCAAACATTGTGTTCAGATCCTTGCGACATGGGGCTGTGCATTATCATGCTGAAACATGGTGATGGCGGCGGATGAATGGCACAACAATGGGCCTCAGGATCGCATCACGGTATCTCTGTACACTCAAATTTCCATCGAAAAAATGTAATTGTGTTCGTTGTCCGTAGCTTATGCCTGCCCATACCATAACCCCACTGCCACCATGGGACACACTGTTCACAACGTTGACATCAGCAAACCACTTCGCCCACATGCTGTCTGACATCTGCCCGATACAGTTGAAACCGTGACTCATCTGTAAAAAGCACACTTCTCCAGCATGCCAGCGGCCATTGAAGGTGAGCATTTGCCCACTGAAGTTGGTTACGACGGCGAACTGCTGTCAGATCAAGACCCTGGTGAGGACGACGAGCATGCAGATGAGCTTTCTGGAGACGGTTTCTGACAGTTTGTGCAGAAATTCTTCAGTTTTGCAAACCCACAGTTTCATCAGCTGTCCGGGTGGCTGGTCTCAGACGATCCCGCAGGTGAAGAAGCCGGATATGGAGGTCCTGGGGTGGCGTGGTTACACGTGGTCTGCGGTTGTGAGGCTGGTTGGACATACTGCCAAATTCTCAAAAACTACGCTGGAGGTGGCTTATGGTAGAGAAATTAACATTCAATTCTCTGGGAACAGCTCGTGGACATTCCTGCAGTCAGCATGCCACACCTGTCAGGTGGATGGATTATCTTGGCAAAGGAGAAATGCTCACTAACAGGGTTGTAAACAAATGTGTGCGCCAAGTTTGAGGGAAATACGCTTTTTGTGCATATGGAAAATTTCTGGGATCTTTTATTTCAGCTCATGAAACATTGGACCAACACTTTGCATGTTGCGTTTATATTTTTGTTCAGTGTAAATGGCTCTAACAAAACAGCTTACTTTTTCCTCCCGGGCCAGTTCCTGTTTTCTTCTCAGGTCTGCAGCTCTTGACGACAGTCCTCTGTTCCCCCCATTGGACCCAGAGTTGGGCTTCAGTTCAGACATCCATTGGGCCCTGAACACGGTGAGCTCCACCTTGTCACATGAACAATGGTGTACGAGTGATTGACATTAGGGGTTTCTCTATTGCCTGGAGCAAGTGACCTGAGCAGTCTCGCAAGTTTAACCTGCTCTGAGGTTGCCCCTTTGGGCAGGTGATTTGTAAAAATATATATATAGAATACTGCAAAGAATTCCAGTAGCCTAAAACAGATCTTTCTGGTTCCTCCCCATTGTTTAAGTGGAAGACAGATCATTTATGGCAGTCTGGCAAGTTGAGCCTGCTCTGAGAATGTTTTTACTGATAACAACTCAATTAAAAATAATTCCAGTAATGATAATTCTGATTCCTCCCCTATTTGCAGGTAATATAATATGGCAATTCTGTGTGTAAATAGGTAATTAATCATAATCGTCTGGCAACCAAAAAAAATACTCCTGACAAGTGCCTTTCGAACTTTAATGTCAATCCCTGTGTACACACACACAATAGCAAAGCGTAAGCAACAACCCTCAATCTCGCAAACTTTGTTCATAACAGTGTATAGGTATGCTATCATGGCAACAACAAAAAAAATGCCAATATGGATTTCTGTTAAACTCTTTATCACAGAGCAATTCTGAGACATAATAGTTGTTTAGACCTTTGTATAGGCCATCTTACTTGGAGGTTTGAGTCATCAGTATTTTCATTCTCTCCATCTTGATCTTCTACAATGCCACGAGAATTGATAATGCTTTCAGCCTGCAGAAAAAATAAAAGTATTGTTAAAATAACTAGGCCTAAACATGGCAGCGAATCACAAACATGGACTGTCTGGCTCTCTTAACAAATAGGGTTTCATTCATTAGCAAATATTGATACAAGTAATTTACCCAAATACAAGCTGTGTTTATGGAAGTGAAGTGGTAGGACAAGAAAGACAAACCACACCCAACCAATATTCAAAGCGTGATCTGGGTTTAAGTTACTTTGAGGTGTGAGCATGCCAAAAAAAAAATTGCACAAGTTAGCTAGAACACATAAGCTAGCTCCTAGTATTCAAACACATTTGGCACCACAATAGCTTGCTAACTGGCAAACGAACAATCAGCCTCTTTCTTGGCTTTGCCTATGCCCAGGAAGGAACTAGCTACTTGACGTTACCTAAACAATAGCCAACTAAACAACGATTTACGATGGAGTTGAGCAGCGACTAGTGTGGTGGACTGGAGTTGAGCAGCGACTAGTGTGGCGGACTGGAGTTTCGATGTCACATAAAAGCGATCAAAAACTACGTATTTTCAGAGGACAATGTCAATGTCATGTGTATTGTTCGTTTGCTGAAATCCGTTTTTTTAATTTTTTTTATAAAAACGTATGTGACGTCGGAGCTCCAGTCTGCCCAGACTAGTTGCCACACAACTCCATCGTAAATCGTGGAGTTGAGTCGGCTACTAAAACAAGCAAGCAGGGCTTAGCGTGTCATTTCCATGATTTATTTGCCAAACAGTTTTCATATTAATCTGTTGACACCTGGACATTTTAATTTATCAATACATTAACTACCGGTAGCTAACTAGCTAGTTAGTATCATTCGTGTTTACGAGACCCGTCATGCAACCACCAGCAGTAGGCGTGAGTGACCATACTTCCTGGCTAACTACGTTAGCCTAGCTAGCTAGATAACTGCCTCGGTGCAGGGTTTAGCCTCATAACAAACGACATTGAGCTACCATTATGGTCTTCTGTTGTCCGTTAACGTTTTCAGATGAGGGTCTACAGATCACGGTCAGAAAAACGGACAACACATCGGGGAAATTTGAGAGATCGCAGAAATGCAGACATTTCAATGACTTGCCTCGAACTGCTGAGTACTTTTACTGCGTTCAAAACGACTGGGAACTCGGAAATCTCCGACTTCACTGCGTTCAATACAACTGGGAACTCGGGAAAAAAACAGGCTCCGACTGGGAATAATAGTTTTGAACGGTCACCCAACTCGGAATTCCAAGTACAAAACTCGGACATCTTTCTATAGCTCCGAGCTGAAGGTCACTGACGTCATGATTTGACATCGTTCTTTTCTATAATTTTGTTATAGGCTAGTACATGGTCCACACAAAAGTGCCATCCTTCATTAATGAGCATTTTTTCGAAAATCATTCCAACGTAGAGGGATCCTAATGCCTGACTGTACAATGTAAGGGGTGTTTTTATGAAAGAGAAAGTTGAGGTACACCTCTAGTCTGAAGTTGCTTCTTCTTGTTTCCTTTCCTTCATCTTCACCTCTTGGAAAAACCAAGACAGGACAGGTAAATGCAATATGATGGATCCAAAACCAAACCAATTTGCATTCACTTGTCCAACTCCTTTCCCATCAGTGCAGATGAAGGAAAGGAGATGAAGAAGCCACTTTATACTATTGAGATACACCCTTGGTAATAATAATAATAATGTTGTTAAACTTCTATAACGCTGTTCATAACTGAAAAAAATGTGGTACCCACACCTTTGTCCCAGCTTAAAAGCAGCCATTCATTATCACAGACTCCCATTATACATTTTCATAAAAAATAAATGGGTAGGCTCAATTTAGTTCGCCAGAGCAGTATTCAGATACCTTGGGCCAATTCGACCGCTACTCCTCCATACTCATTACTCAGGCAACCAAGCTCCCTAACCCTCCCTAGCAGATCTGTAAGGTGGAAGTATGGTGGAAGCTCCTCCACTACACTGGTTACACTTATCCAGACCCCTCAGATCTGCAAACATTGAATGGTTAGGGCCAAGGGGAGTGTTAGGGAGGGAACTTGTTATACCACCTATTTCGAAAGCTTCACAGAAGCGCATTCCCACTTCTGACACCAGTACAGCAATCGGGGGGAGGGGTGGAAAGGTCACCTGGACCCATGCAGGGAGGGTTGGTGGGCGGCTACGAAAGATATGACATGGCAATATGTGGTGATGATGGACACCAACCAGAGAATGATAGAGGACTCTTCTTTGTAAATGTCACAATATGGCGCCTGTGAGCGCACAGGCAGCGCCATTGAGGCATCTCCATTTTGAAGTAGTCCATTTTATTGTACTACTTCTATGAGTTGGTAAACAAACTGAAAGGGTGCATACTGCCACCTGGAGGAGTGTGTTGTTTGAACCGGTATAAAGCTTAGGTTAACGATTTACTGCCACCTGCAGTTATGGAGTATAATTCATTGGCTCAACCCTCCTGATGACCTGGATTGAATTATATGATCCTTCCTTAATCGAAGCAAACTTGTGATGATTTTCTGTGTTTCTTCGAAAAGACCTGCTCTCCGGAGTAGGGCGCCTTTGAAAGGAGTGATTACTGGGGTGGAGTTAAGTGTTGAGGTGGAGCAACTGAAATGGAAGATTCCCGGTGTCTGTCACGCCCGCCGTTTGGTACGACGCAGAACCGGTGGCGAGCGTGGTAAAACTGAGAAGACACTGTCCTTTTGAGTTTTGAAGTAGTCTTTGCCAGACAAAGTCATGTTGGATATGTCAGTTATCCCGTGACAGCTTTTGTGCCGAACCCACTAAGGTGTTTTAGATGCCAGCTTATGGTCATGTTGCAGCAGTCTGTAGGAGGGAGATTCTGAGATGTGAGAGATGTGCAGGAGGGCATGGGACAAAGGAATTTGTAGTATCGGTGGAAAAAACTGTGTGTGTCAATTGTGGGGGTGCCCATGTTGCTGGGGATCAGAAGTGCCCGGTGTGAGGCAGGTTGAGGTTGCCAGGGTCAGAGTAGAACAGACGGTGTCGTATGCTGAGGCAGTGAAGAGAGTAGAGGATGATAGGTCAAGGGTGAGTAGTAGGCGTAGGCCAATACAGAGTGATACGAATTTGTGCTTCAGTACGGTTGGCTTCTTAGCATTCATTGCATGGTTATCAACTGTACCGCAGAAATGTTACATCAATCACAGAAAATAGATGTTGTGGTGGCAGCTGCAGAGAAGTACTTGGGTATATGAAGTTTTACTGCAGAAGAGTTACAAGGTGTGTTGAACGAAAGAGTCCCGTCCTCCCAGGCCATCGGCCTGGTGTAGGATCAGTTAGGGTGAGAGTAGTGGAATGGGGTGGTGTTTATTTTTATGAAATAGTGGTATATAGGCGTAGGGTTTGTTGGTGGTGCATTTTTTCCCTTTTGCCCTTCCTTTTTATTTTTGTGTCACAAAGTGTAACGTGATCGACCACACACTACCGCACAGTAGGTTGTGGCATGCACAAACAAAATGTGTGAACGCCATGATACCAAAGAAGAAGAAGATCCTTCCTTATTAACCCATAGGAAGTCCCACCTACTACTTCAACATGTTGCTAAATCGGGCTTTTGGGCACTAGAGTCCTTTATCATTATCTATGGCTCCAACCAGGTGGTGGTGTTGGTGTCAGAATACAGTCAATGGTCAGAACAGAAGAGATGTTACATAGGCTTGGTCATAAGTAGGGAAGAACACCAAGAGGGAAAGTCCGAGAGTCAGTTGAACAATCCGTCCCGAGGGAGAGGCTGAAAGCTGTGGCTAGCGATCAATCGTTGATAAACAAACAATCAAACTTTACTCGGTGTGGTGGCGGTTCGGCACGGCTGTGCTGTGACTGGGTCAGAGATGGTAGGAGATCGTGATGGAGAAGAAAGTGAAGCAAGTATGGAGCATAGTGGTACAAATAAAGGGGGGAGTAAGAAAAAGAAAGCGGGAGAGAAAGGGAGTAGGGGTTTGAAGGGGAGTGAGAGGTCTATGGAGGCAGAGAGGAGGCAGAAAAGGAAGTTTGAGGAGAGCAACATAGTTTCCAACTCTAGCGGCAGTTCGGAGGTAGAGAGTGCTGAGGAAGGGCAAGATAAGTCGTGAGGGGATCATGGAGGTGAGGAGGAGCATAAAGTGATTCTGACGTTTAGGGAGGAAGGGGGAGTTGGGGCGATGAGTCTGATAAGGTTGACGGCTGAGATAAAATAGTTCATTGGGGAAGTTGTCAATGCACATTTGTTAAGAGATGGGAGCTTGTTGGTATTCTGTAAGGACATGGCGCAGAGGGAAAAAGCTTTCAGAGTGAAGCAAATAGGGAAGTGTAAGGTGGTGTCGAGCAGCTGGACTGATCAAGAAGGGAAGCAGTGGTTTAATGGGGTGATAACAGGAGTGCCTGTGAGTGTTAGCACTGAAGAGGTAAGCGACAACTTGAGAGGAGGCATTCTAGTGAATGTTCAAAGATTGCAAGCGACAAAGGGTGGAGTTAAGGTAGTTAGCCTGTCTATTCTGTTACACTTCAAGGACCAGGGTGCTGCCAAATAAAGTAACCATAGGATATATGAGTTATTATGTGAGGGCTTATGTACCGAAGCCTTTAAGATGTTATAAATGCCAGAACAGATGGATGAAAATGGCCAAGTGATGGAAAATCTGATAGAAATTAAAGATCTGGTGTGCCTGAATGATGGCCGAGGGACCAGGATTGATGTAGCCACAGGGAAATTGTCTGCCTTGGACCTCACTCTGGTATCTAGTGCAATGGCAGGAATCTGTGAGTGGGAGGTATGGGAGGAGTCGACAGTAGGGAGTGATCATTATCCCATAGTATGCACAGTAGGCCGGAGGGAGGAGGAGGTGTCAGTGTATGGAGTAGGCAGGTGGGTGTTTGGAAGGGCAAAGTGGGATCAGTTTCAGAAGCTGAGTGAGCAGGTGATGGCTCGGGTGGACATGAGAGGGGATGTGGATAGTATGAATAACTGGGTGAGAACAGCGTTAGTGGGGGCAGCTACTGAGTCTATATCTAAGAGTTCAGGGAGGAGGAGGAGAAGGAAAGCAGTCCCATGGTGGACGGAGGAGTGTGTGGCAATGGTGAGGAGTAGGAACAGGGCATTTAGAGTACTGAAAAGGACGCATAACTTCCAACATCTGATTCAGTATAAGCAGGCCCTGGTGAGGAGAACTATCCGTCAGGCAAAGAGGTCATGTTGGCGTCGGTTCTGTGACACTATTGAAAGGGCGACACCTGTGGGAGAAGTGTGGGGGATGATTAAGAGGATGAGTGGGGTCAGAAGGGATGTGGGATTACCCAGTGTTGACAAGTGGGAAGGATGTGGCAGTAACAGATGAGGAGAAGGCAGAGATGATGGTCAAAGCGTTTGCCCAAGTGCATAGCTCGGCAAATTTGGCAGAGGGGGAGAGAGAGAACGAGAGAGGAGCATCCTAGAGTGCTGGATAGGAGGGAGGATGAAAATGATGCATTGAATGCACCATTTACCATGGCAGAGGTGAAAAGGGCAATAGGTAAGGCTGGGTTGACTTCACCTGGGAAAGATGAGGTGTGCTATGTTATGTTGGCCCATCTTAGTGATGAAGCACTGGATAAGGTATTGGTGTTTTACAAGAGAGTGTGGGAGGAGGGGAAACTCAACAAGGACCCAACAAGACCAAAAAGCTATCGGCCAATAGCTTTAACATCACATGTAGGTGAGATTATGGAACGTATGATTACGGAGAGGCAAACTTACTTCCTGGAGAGCAGGGGGCTAGTATCACCACATCAGAGTGGGTTCAGGAAGGGTAGGGGAGCTATGGACCCAGTGCTCTGCTTAGAAGCAGAGGTCAGGAAGGCTCAGGTGAACAAGGAGACTGTAGTAGCTGTCTTTTTTGATGTGGAGAAAGCATATGATATGATGTGGAAGGAGGGGTTGTTAATCAAGCTTGATATTATGGGGGTAGGAGGAAGAACGTACAACTGGATAAAGGATTTCCTGTTTGGAAGGTCTTTACAGGTGAGGGTAGGTAAGTCTATCAGGCAGCTACCTGATGGATAATGGTTCACCGCAGGGAAACGTGATTAGTCCTCTTGTTCTCAATCATGATCAATTATGTTTATTCTCAGGTACGGACGGATATTGGGAGGTCGTTATTTGCAGATGATGGGGCCTTATGGAAGAGGGGAAGAAATGTGCCATATACAGTCAGGAAGGTACAGGAAGCAATTGATGAGGTAGAGCGGTGGGCATTAATGTTGGGATTCAGGTTCTCTTTAGAGAAAACTCAGTGTTCTTTACCAGGAGGAAGGTGGTAGATGAGGTATGCTTGAGGTTATATGGGAGAAACTTGGAGACGGTGGGGGCCTTCATGTTCCTTGGGGTATACTTTGACACTAGACTGACCTGGGCAGAACACATTGAGAGAGTGGTGGGAAAGTCTAAAAAGGTGCTAAATGTGATGCGCTGTCTGACGGGGAAGGAGTGGGGGGCTGGGCGTTCCTCATTGAGGACCATGTATGTTGCATTGATCTGATCTGTAATAGACTATGACAGTATAGCGTATGGTTCGGCAGCCCGGACCTCATTGGAAAGGCTAGATGTCATACAGGGGCAAGGACTCAGAATATGTAGTGGGGCGTTTCGGAGGAAGTCAAGCCAGACAGAGTAGTTATTTGATCTGATTCATGTGCAGTGTTGATGAGTCTCCAGTCCTTTAGCTCACGTAGCAGACAAGACCTGCTTTATGAGGTGCTACAAACCCATGGCAGGATTAGACAGATGGGTATACAGATAAGATTTACTTTGGTCCCAGCCCATGTGGGGGTGGAGGGGAACGAGGCAGTTGATGTACTGGCTAAACAAGCACTTAGTAGTGGGGATGTTGATGTTGTAGTTTCAATGAGCAAGGCAGAGGCAAAAAGCCTGATATATACAGTGATGGTGCAGAGATGGCAGAAGAAGAGGAATAGAGATACAAAGGGCAGGCATTTATTTCAAGTACAGAGGAAAGTCGGGGAGGACGGCAGGAAGGGACAGAAGAGAGGAGGCTATTTTTACAAGATGGAGGGTGGGACACAGCCAGTTGAATAAGACCTTAAATGTGATAGGAAAGCATCCAACAGGAAAGTGTGATTATTGACAGGAAACAGAGACTGTGGAGCATGTATTGCTACTGTGTGGGCAGTATCAGCGGGAAAGAGAGAGGGTGAGATCTAGTATGAGGGAGAAGGGGATACAGGAAATTAGTTTGAAGAGTATATTGAATAGAATGTCATTAGATATAGTCTGAAATATTTTGTTATCTTTTTTAAGAGCAACGGGGGTGGCATTTATTTTCTCCCGGTCTCTGGCCCACACTCCAGTATAGTAGGTGGCGGTAATGCACCATAACGTTGGATGCCAACCGCCGATAAACCCCACCAAAAAAAAAGAAGAAGAAGAAGAAGAAAAAGAAGAAGAAGAAGAAGAAGAAGAAGAAGAAGAAGAAGAAGAAGGAAAAGAAGAAGGAAAAGAAGAAGGAAAAGAAGAAGGAAAAGAAGAAGGAAAAGGAAAGTCCAGTAGGTGGCGGTAATGTGACATAACATTGATTGCCAACCGCCACTGAAGAAGAATAGCTCGCTTTAGTGGTCGCGCAGCTGTGATTTGTTGTGATGGGCCTATGGATGTAATGTGAGTGAGCGTGGTTGACTCTAAGTAGTTTAGTGATGCTGTGTTCAAATGTCTGTTCATCGAGTTGAAACGGAGTGGGTGAGTGTATTTTTGACTCTCTTACTTAGCTTTTTGTCATTATCAGCAGCAATCAAAGATTGATCGTGTGGCTGTTAGTTAACGTGAGCTAGCTAGCTAACGTCCGCTAACCAACGCGTTAACAGTAGCTCGCTGTAGCATTTTTTGTTTCTCGTTGCAGCAGTAGCTAGGTCCACTGCGACAACCATGGGTCACCCAGCCGCTCAGCCTGTCCGCCAGGGTCTGCCGAGGTACACCATGCACCTTGGTAGATAAGAAAATAAAACTGTTACTAGCAGATAAAATTCACATACACATGGTAATCTCCTAAAAACAAAAGATGCCTAACCTTGGCAGCCTGGCGGATAGCCATCCCTGCCCCGCAGTCCTCCATGGCATGGAACATGTCCAACACACTCCACTGCTTCCTCTTGACTTTCTCCATGTTGTGGTGTTAATACAATGTAGCTAAATAACTTGGCATACTATACACAATTTAGAAAGATAACTCAATCTGAATATGTATAAACGTTTACATTTCAAAGCTAAAGCATTGAAAGGTGATGAAAGTTTTCACAATAACTGAAAGTGGACCCACGTTTTTTGTTTGATGTTATCTATAATAAATTAGTGTCCCAATTAGTTTAATATTGATGCATACATTGTAAAATTTGACTAAATACTGTCTCTATGTAGCTGTTGTAAGACGAAACATAGCCAACAGTGATAGGTGTCAAAAAATTAATGGTTCAAAGTTCCAAATACATTTTTGCAGATTGTGCAAAACGCCTCTGTCAGAGGACAACATTTTGATACGATAAAGCTTGACAACATTCAGCTGTTTTCGTGATATGTATTATCTAACGCTTACAATTTCTTTCCTTTTTGCTGTCTTAGCAGTTCTATCAACATTTAGCAACTAAGCTAGCATCATTAGAAAATCCGTTAGCTATATTTCAGAGGTAAAAAGTTGGATATTAAATGATGTGTGGTCTGTCGCCCAGTCGAATTTTACAATTATGCAGTGTGTTCCACAAAATGTGTACATAGGTTTTGAGCGTTTTCAAAAAAGTTAACTTAACTTACATAAATTGCACTGAAAATCGGTGGTCAGCTAGCTAGAAGGGTGTTGTTAGTCGCAAAACGTACCGTTATTTTCCAGTCCATTTAAATGTTGAGCTCGAGGTGATTTAGTCCTCCAACCGCTAGTGTCCGAAGTTGGGGGAAAATTAGCTAGCAATATTGCTAACTATGTAAACATAACATGACATTATGGTCAGACATTTTTACACTTAATCTTATGCATGTCTTTTGGTAATGTTAGGTCAGTAGCTAGCTTGTGATGAAATAGCTAGACCAGCTTTATCACAGTTGCAGCCGACAGTATTTTTCAGTTACAACTGGTTTCTGGCGGCCTTCTTCGGTTACACAGGTGTTCTGAACATGCTAGATGGCTAATTACTGTGACACAGGTGGTCTGCCTCTGTCTTCGGTCTGTCTTCCGTAAACATGCGCTGTAACATGGCGATATGGCTGTGTGGTAACACTAACCTAACCCTATAAATGTGTGTAGTAATTTAACATTTTGTTTTTGAAAATTATTTCTCGCTGATATGGAAGATATATTCCTTCTGTTTCCAAAACCGTATCCCTAGCGATGTGTGTTCACGTTTAGAACAAGTGGGCCTCTTATAAGCCTTTTGGCAAATGTTTGAAAATGACGTATTTGCTACTTCATTATACAGGAGTTGCACATTTAAGCGATAAGGCCCGAGGGGGTGTGATATATTGCCAATATACCACGGCTTAGGGCTGTTCTTATCGACGACGCAACGCGGAGTGTATATTGGCCATATATCACAAACAACCGAGGTGCCTTATTGCTATTATAAACTGGTTACCAACATGGTTAGAGCAGTAAAAATAAATGTTTTGTCATACCCGTGGTATATGGTATGATATACCACAGCTTTCTGCCAATCAGCATTCCGGGCTCGAACCACCCAGTTTATAATCAACAATACGCCATAGCCTTTTGACTGTAAGATGATAGGCTTGCTATTGTTGCATGTTTCCATTAAGCTCTTAATATAAATGGGCCGTTCCTTGTATGCATGCATAGTATTTTCTGTTGGTCACATTATTTTACTGTTTGGGGGAAAATATTAGTTTGACGGTTAAGGTTAATGAGGGTCAGTTAGTCAGCAGCAAAATTGACCGAAATTTGCATCCCTAAATTAGGCGCTAAAGGTAATTAGCATCTATGAATGGGGTTGGCAAAAAGAGTACTACTGTCTGTTGAATATCTAAGAAGATAATCAAATAAATTGTGTAACTTGCATTCAATTACAAACTCTTTGTCTCAGATTCTTTGTATTGTTTAAAACGGATAACCAAGCGTATATTTTCCCTCTGTGATTGAATTGCTGGTCTATGGCTTCCTCTATGCCTTCCGATTCCCTTTTCCTCAGGAGGAGGCAAGAAGCCCATGACAACATGAGTCCTGCAGCTGTGCCTGTGGTCCACTGCTGTTGTCACAGGAAAATCTGGTTACACTCAACAGATGCAGGGGGCTTCCAGCCTGCCACCTCTGTGTTCCTCCAGCCCATAGTGATCTGATCTACCCCTAGGCAATGGCGAGGAGAGGGCAGCGCCATGAATAGATACACCACCCTCAGGCAGCTCGGGGATGGCACCTACGGCTCAGTCATGCTCGGCCGCAGCCTGGAATCAGGGGAACTGGTCGCCATTAAGAAGTGAGTGTAGGGCACATTGTCATTGAATTGTTTTTTTTGTTGAAAAAAATGGCTGATCTCTGTGTGCAAATGCAGTCCATCTTTGCAGGGTTGGTAGCTAGTGTAGGCTACATATTATCCTCTGGTACCTAAATTGAAGGGCTTTAGCCTAAAAGTGGTTGTAGCTGCTAAACCGTGTAGTAAAATGAGCTGCCAGTGCCTGTGGGATTTGCTAGGAATGGCATTAGCAGGTGGCCACTCCCACATCCATGTGTGGTTAAGATGACAGCTGGTTAGAAAGATGTGTAGACAAATAAAAGTGCACGGATGACTGACAAGCCCACCCATTTAGCTGATAAAAAAAATAAAGGCATGTCTTGGTGGGTATGGTACCTTTGGGCAGCATCATAAAAGCCTCTGACTTCTATTTCTAGCTTTGACAGGAAGTGTGTGGGGCAGCTGCAGACTAGCAGCATAAATCCTAGCTAATAAATCAATGGCTAGTATGACATTACTATCTGTTCCAGCTGGCGGATAGCTGTTGATACGTAGGTAGTGTTAAGGGTAAGCAGCACATTTTCGACCATTGAGCAAAACATTTAATTTATTTAATAACAGAGCATTTTCTAAATTCCAACGTTCCACCTGCAACTAGCCATGGATGTTTAGAAGACAGCGGTGGCTTCCAAGTCGGGAATTGAGGAAGTACCCTATTGCCAAGTAAAGGTTGGTCGAAAAGAAATGCGTCTGTACCTGTAGACTTTGTCATTGTTCTAACGCTAGTTAGCATTGGCTCGCGAAACTACTGCTAACTTCCTTCATACTCATACATGCAGAGATATAAAAATGTTATCCACAAGTTCGTCTGACTCTGGGCAAGTAGAACATGCCAGAATCTTGCAGTATCCCTCACTACCTACGTATCAGCGGCTATCTGCCAGCTGGAACAGATCGTAATGTCGGACTAGCCATTATTCGCTGCGTAAATCCATAATGTTGGTGGTGTCGCTGTCTTGAGATTGAAATAGAGAAGGCCTAGGCCAGGGTTCTTGAATTCCGGTCCTGGTGGGCCGAAACGCTTCTGTTTTTTATTTCTACCTGGTAGTTAATTGCACTCACCTGGTGTCCCAGGTCTGAATTAGCCCCTGATTAGAAGGAGAGGATGAAAAACAGAGGTGTTTCGGCCCTCGAGGACCGGAATTGAAGAACCCTGGCCTAGGCCTACGTGTTATAAACTTGTTTGGTCTTTTCAATCATACATTTTACGCACTACGTATTAATCTCTTTTATGAATCAAACTTCTTATATCAATCAAGAATCCCAATATGTTTTAAAATAAAAAGGATGACCTATGATGTCTGTCCTTTTATTAAAGGGATATTTCAGGATTTTGACAATGAAGCCGTTTATCTACTTCCCTGGAGTAAGATGAACTCGTGGATACCATTTTTATTTCTGAAGGAAGTTGCTAACTAGTGTTAGCGCAATTGCTAGTAAATACATTAGACTTCCAGTCATTGCGCTAACGCTGGTTAGCATTGGCTCGCGAAACTTCCTTCATACTGAATGCCGAGACTTGAAAATGGTATCCATGAGTTCATCTGACTCTGGGGAAGTAGATAAAGGGCTTCATTGCCAAAATATCCCTTTAAGTTAGGCTAATCATGAATGATTGCATATTTGTTTCAGAATGAAGAGAAAGTTCTACTCATGGGAAGAATGCATGAATCTTCGTGAGGTCATAGTAAGTGCTCCTTTCCAGATATTATGCTTGTGTGTAAAATGCTCCACATATTTATTCCAAAACATGGTAACAGCCTGTTTCACCTGTTACTGTTTTTGTATGACTATTTAAATTCCACCTCTGCTCAGAACCACAGAAACCAGCACAAATAATCTAGAAGGTGATTCTTCTGTGTACTGCCCTTGGATTTGAACTCTAGTTCCTGACCCAGACATTCATTCCTTACCTTAGAGCTTGGTACCAAAGGAGCGTAGCTGAATATTAGACGAATCCGGCCACTGAGGGATCTTAGTTGGAATGTCAGCTGTAAATAGCATGTGCCACCACCAAGACCCATAACGACTTTCCCCACTACTAAAAAAATATGGCATGCTGAAAGTTGCCTCCATACTTTCCAGTGCATGGGAAAACTGAGTCCTGCTTCACCTCTGTTTACTATGATCTGCCCTGGTTTGCTTAAAACATTAAAAAGCATAAGCAATCACTAATGGCTGCACTTTTAGAAATACCAGTTGTTCCCCACACTGTACCCAAGATGATATACTGTTTATTATATATATTTTTAATTTAACCTTTTATTTATCCAGGTGAGTCAATTAAGAACAAATTCTTATTTACAATGACGGTCTGGCAAGTGACGATTGGGAAGTGCTTTGATTGTCAAACCATGTTTTGATTTTGAACAAAAGCGTGTTTGTTGGGTTTAAGGGTGAGGCCTTGAATGTGTTACCTTTTATGTGTCGGTCTTACATGATGGAGTATTGCAGAGCTGTTTTTGATGATATACAGATTGAGGTGATTTCCCTCATGCTTGGTCTTGATTGATGAGGTACCATCTAATTTGTTCCCTCCTCCTTTCAGTCTTTAAAGAAACTCAACCATGCGAATGTGGTCAAACTCAAGGAGGTTATACGGGAAAATGACCACTTGTACTTTGTGTTTGAATACATGAAGGAGAACTTGTATCAACTAATGAAAGACAGGTAAATATTATTATTTTTTAAATCACAAAGCCTAAATATAGTCTATTTGAAAGGGGTTCAATGCTTTGGGGATACTTTTTCTCGGTATGTCAAAATCATGGCTCATGTATTGTTATTTGTATCATGTTACAGGTCTCGGCTGTTCCCTGAATCTGCTGTGCGAAATATTATGTTCCAGATACTGCAGGGATTAGCATTTATTCATAAGCATGGTATGATCCACTGTATACTTATCAGAATGATACACTAGCATGGAGATGTTTTTTGGTGGCACATTTTCTAGAAACGAGGTACACTATTTTGAAAAAGCTTTTCACGTGTTACTCTGTATGCTCGCTGTATGATTTTCCCCTCAGGATTTTTTCACAGGGATATGAAACCTGAGAACCTTCTATGCATGGGACCAGAGCTGGTGAAAATAGCTGACTTTGGGCTTGCTCGCGAGATAAGATCTCGGCCACCATACACAGACTATGTTTCAACAAGATGGTTAGTTTTGTTACCTCTATATGGGTTTTATGTGTCTGTGACACCATTTTGTGATTGATCAGTAAGACTGATCAAGTTCTCTGAATTTATTGGTCCCCTTTTCTGTCCGCAATGTGACAACATGATTCCTCTTGTATTTTCTGTCATGTGGAGCATCAACCAGCCTATAAAGCCTTTCTCCCTTCCTTGTGTTGAGACCTTAGAGACTGCTGCCATATGTACAGTCGTGGTCAAAAGTTTTGAGAATGACACAAGTATTGGTCTTCACAAAGTTTGCTGCTTCAGTGTTTTTAGATATTTTTGTCAGATGTTACTATGGTATACTGAAGTATAATTACAAGCATTCCATAAGTGTCAAAGGCTTTTATTGACAATTACATTAAGTTTATGCAAAGAGTCAATTTGCAGTGTTGACCCTTCTTTTTCAAGACCTCTGCAATCCGCCCTGGCATGCTGTCAATTAACTTCTGGGCCACATCCTGACTGATCGCAGCCCATTCTTGCATAATCAGTGCTTGGAGTTTGTTTGAATTTGTGGGTTTCTGTTTGTCCACCCGCCTCTTGAGGATTGACCACAAGTTCTCAATGGGATTAAGGTCTGGGGAGTTTCCTGGCCATGGACCTAAAATGTTGATGTTTTGTTCCCCGAGCCACTTAGTTATCACTTTTGCCTTATGGCAAGGTGCTTCATCATGCTGGAAAAGGCGTTGTTTGTCACCAAACTGTTCTTGGATGGTTAGGAGAAGTTGCTCTCGGAGGATGTGTTGGTACCATTCTTTATTCATGGCTGTGTTCTTAGGCAAAATTGTGAGTGTGCACACTCCCTTGGCTGAGAAGCAAACCCACACATGAATGGTCTCAGGATGCTTTGCTGTTGGCATGACACAGGACTGATTGTAGCATTCACCTTGTCTTCTCCAGACAATATTTTTTCCGGATGCCCCAAACAATCGGAAAGGGGATTCATCAGAGAAAATGACTTTACCCCAGTCCTCAGCAGTCCAATCTCTGTACCTTTTAGCAGAATATCAGTCTGTCCCTGATGTTTTTCCTGGAGAGAAGTGGCTTCCTCGCTGCCCTTCTTGACACCAGGCCATCCTCCAAAAGTTTTGCCTCACTGTGTGTGCAGATGCACTCACACCTGCCTGCTGCCATTCCTGAGTAAGCTCTGCATTGGTGGTGCCCCGATCACGCAGCTGAATTAACTTTAGGAGACGGACCTGGCGCTTGCTGGACTTTCTTGGGCGCCCTGAAGCCTTCTTCACAACAATTGAACCTCTCTCCTTGAAGTTCTTGATGATCCGATAAATGGTTGATTTAGGTGCAATCTTACTAGCAGCAATATCCCTGCCTGTGAAGCCCTTTTTGTGCAAAGCAATGATGATGGCACGTGTTTCCTTGCAGGTAACCATGGTTAACAGAGGAAGAATAATGATTTCAAGCACCACCCTCCTTTTAAAGCTTCCAGTCTGTTATTCTAACTCAATCAGCATGACAGAGTGATCTCCAGCCTTGTCCTCGTCAACACTCTCACCTGTGTTAACGAGAGAATCACTGACATGTCAGCTGGTCCTTTTGTGGCAGGGCTGAAATGCAGTGGAAATGTTTTTTGGGGGATTAAGTTCATTTTCATGGCAAAGAGGGACTTCGCAATTAATTGCAATTCATCTGATCACTCTTCATAACATTCTGGAGTATATGCAAATTGCCATCATAAAAACTGAGGCAGTAGACTTTGTGAAAATTAATGTTTGTCATTCTCAAAACTTTTGACCACGACTGTACATAGTCATTGAACACTGTTCACTTTAATGTTTACGTAATGTCTATTGTTTTGAAATCGTTTCTGTAGTTAGACAAAGATAAGATTAACATTATTCTGTTTGAATTTAATTTGATCTGTGACTAATTAAACCAATTGATTACTCACTTTATATGTACAGTGCATTCGGAAAGTATTCAGACCCCTTGACTTTTTCCACATTTTGTTGCGTTACAGCTTTATTCTAAAATTGATTTAATTGATTTTTTTCCCCTCATCAACCTACACACAATAACCCCGAAGAACACAGTGGCCTTCATCATTCTTTAAATGGAAGAAGTTTAGAACCACCAAGACTCTTCCTAGAGCTGGCCGCCTGGCCAAACTGAGCAATCGGGGGAGAAGGGCCTTGGTCAGGGAGGTGACCAAGAACCCGATGGTCACTCTGACAGAGCTCCAGAGTTCCTATGTGGAAATGGGAGAACCTTCCAGAAGGACAACCATATCTGCAGCACTCCACCAATCAGGCTTTTATGACTGTGGCCAGATGGAAGCCACTCCTCAAACAAGATTCTCTGGTCTGATGAAACCAAGATTGAACTCTTTGGCCTGAATGCCAAGCGTCACGTCTGGCGGAAACCTGGCACCATCCCTACGGTGAAGCATGGTGATGGCAGCATCATGCTTTGGGGATGTTTTTCAGCGGTAGGGACTGGGAGACTAGTCAGGATTGCGGGAAAGATGAACGGAGCAAAGTACAGAGAGATCCTTGATGAAAACCTGCTCAGGACCTCAGACTGGGGCGAAGGTTCACCTTCCAACAGGACAACGACCCTAAGTCAACGGGTCTGAATACTTTCCGAATGCACTGTACATACGGTATTGTCGACATAGATCATCCTATATAACTACTGCTGTACATAACCTTTTCCTACATGTCCATACTGTCTATACACTCCGTGTATTTATATCCCGGACTCTGGCATTGCTTGTTCTGATATTTATTGTTTCTTCTTTTTTTTTGGGGGGGGGGGGGGGATTATTTGTGTATTAGTATTGTGCTGTTAAACATTTACTGCACTGCTGGAGTTAGGGAACAAAAGCATTTCCCTGCACCTGCTTTAACATCTGCTCATCTGTGTATGTGACAAATAAACTTTGATTTGATATCCAGGTACAGAGCTCCAGAAGTGCTGCTGAGGTCCACCTCCTACAGCTCTCCTATAGACCAGTGGGCTGTGGGCTGCATCATGGCAGAGCTCTACACCCTCAGGCCTCTGTTCCCGGGCTCCAGTGAAGTGGACACCATTTTCAAAATTTGCCAAGTCTTGGGAACTCCAAAGAAGGTAGCTTTGTTATCCGGGGCTGTTAGATCCAGTATATCAGCCTGATATAAGCTATACTGTCCTCACATCTTCATGTAGAATGTCTCATGGTGTTGTTAAATTCATAAATCAAACCTCACTGAAGATGTGGTGATTAGTCTTGTGTGATGTGCTTTTGAAATGACAAACTTCTTCCCAGATTATTTTTGTCATAACATTTAAAAAATGTTCTGTTTTATCTCTGTACTAATCCACTTCCTCTAGAATGACTGGCCAGAGGGCTTCCAGTTGTCGGCAGCCATGAATTTCCGCTGGCCCCAGTGTGTCCCCAGTAATCTGAGGAGTCTGATCCCCAACGCCAGTACTGAGGCCATCCACCTCATGAGAGACCTACTCCAGTGGGACCCTAAGAAGAGGCCAGCCTCTGCACAGGTAGCACACCTTGGCTGGAGCTAAACAATTTAGATATTCTAACATTTTAATGTCATTTTAGCTGATTAATATATCCTGCTTAGGGCTCAACGGAAACCAATAAATTATTTTATTCTCCATTTGCAGGCCCTCAGGTATTCATACTTCTACGTGGGTCAGGCGTTGGGCACGCCTCAGCAGATCCTGGAGCAGGGCAGGCCTCAGCCTGGTCCCCTACTTCCACAGCCACCACAACCATCACCTCTGCAGCAGCAACAACCACTGCTGCTCAAACCAGTGCCCCCTCCCCAGCCAGTGCCCCCAAATCCGCATTTCACCTCGTCCAGGCCCCTGCAACAGATCGAGCCAGCCCCCGCCCCGGTTCCATTATACCAGAGGCACACAGAGCTGCTGCGAGAGCAGCCCAACCGCATAGTGAAGCAGGAGGAGACTGAGAGAGTCCCACAGACCCGTTTACCTTACATTGTTGACAAGAGCTTGCAGAGCCAGGTGAGTTTGCAGTCATCAACCAGGGCTACCTGAGCACGACAAGCATTCATTCCGCGTAATCATGTCATTAGATGTTAGAATACCTTGTTAAATTAATCCAAAATGCAATGGCTACGAATGCAAAGTTGATGAATTCTTCAGAAATGTAATTGAGCCATTTTGCTTCTTTGTCTCTCTCATAGAGATTGTTAATACACCATTTCCTTTTTTCGAGTTGACCCAGGAGGCTGAAAATGCCAAATTCTTAAGCTATCAGGTGAAACCTAAGGGTGGAGGACGCCGGCGATGGGGCCACGGCACAGGCCTCCTAAAGGGTGACGGCTGGGATGACTTTGAGGACACAGAGCTGACCTCTCTAAGTGTTCTGTGCAAAACAAACTTTCCTACTGAAAAACGAAGAGAGGATACGTTGAGCAGGTGAGACTCTCTGTCCCTATGAGTTATCAGTTTGATCTTTTCAGATAAAGGCTTTATGTATTTCTGCTATGTCTTTCAGGTATGGAAATGTTTTGGATTTTAGCAGCCCCAAAGTTAAGGGGCATGTGACAACAGGTGACGAGGCACCTTTGAATCTGAACAAGGCAATGTCCTACCAGGAGCCTTCGAGAACAGCCTCTGCCAAACAGCATTACTTGAAGCAGTCAAGATATCTACCAGGTAGAAAGACAAAAACATGACCTTCCTTCCAAATTGATATTTTCAGTAAGGAACGTCTAGTTACTGCTAATGTATATCATAAAATGGGGTCACTCATTAATCGGCATTGAGCCTTCTTTATCAGTGAACTTTGAACTCGATTTATCTGCCATTTGTCTACCAAATCAGAGACAAACGCATGTACATGCTCTGATATAGAATGCCAAATTATTTTTAAACCTGGGTGAAACTACATTATTTTCATCACTTGATTTATCAATGATCATCTCAGGAGTGGCTAATGTTGCTGAGTCATGATGATTTAGTCTTGTTGAGCCACAAGGGGCAGCTTGTTGTGATTTAAATTATGTTGCAAACTTTCTCAACTTTACTTCTACTTCCTAATCTCTCCTATCTCACCTGCAGGTTTAAGTACCAAAAAGAATATGGCAATAAATTCCAACAAAGACTACAGTGAAGGCAACCGCTGGGGCAGCAGCAGTATTCCTGTAGGAGGGACACTTCCTAGCAGAAACACTCATGGTAACGATTTGGGTTGGGACCAACATCCTGGATGTTTATCACCTGTCACCTTACTAAACAGAAGGCTGGGTGGTATAAGCTAGGGTTATGTGTCTGTTGTTTGTTTACAGTACAACATTTAACTTGAATGTCCTTTTATCTTTGATGGCCCAATCGCAGGTTCAAATACACTTCCAAGTGGATATGTACCATCCTATTACAAAAAAGAGGTTGGCTCTGCCGGCCAAAGAGTGCAACTCGAACCTATAGGGGACTCGACAGCATCAAGTGAGTGATCTTTGTAGTCTCAATGCACAGTTGTCAGTCCAGTCTTAGTGCTGTGTAGTAATGTAATAATGTGGCTTGTCCCTGCTGTCACAGATTATGCAACCTGGAGGTCATCAAGCAGAAGTCAGATGGGTGCCTCATCCTATCTGCCATCACCCACCAAGACTACACCTGGCCTACGGTCTCGCCCCCCAGTACAGGCCATCCATGGGCGCACAGACTGGTCTGCCAAATATGGACACCGCTAGTGGCCTCTTTAGGGCACTTGTGTTATGGCCTGGAACAGATGTCTGTATTCCTGATTTCTCTTTTCCGTATAAAAGGAAAAACAGATGTTTTCATAATATGAATTATCAAAGTATGTACATGTTATACAGCAATAACCTTGGTTTTGTATTGTTCTGTGTATATATTGTTCAATGTACAACCTTTTCAATGTACAGTGGGGAGAACAAGTATTTGATACACTGACAATTTTACAGGTTTTCCTACTTACAAAGCATGTAGAGGTCTGTAATTTTTATCATAGGTACACTTCAACTGTGAGAGACGGAATCTAAAACAAAAATCCAGAAAATCACATTGTATGATTTTTAAGTAATGAATTTGCATTTTATTGCATGACGTAAGTATTTGATACATCAGAAAAGCAGAACTTAATATTTGGTACAGAAACCTTTGTTTGCAATTACAGAGATCATACGTTTCCTGTAGGTCTTCACCAGGTTTGCACACACTGCAGCAGGGATTTTGGCCCACTCCTCCATACAGACCTTCTCCAGATCCTTCAGCTTTCGGGGCTGTCGCTAGGCAATACAGACTTTCAGCTCCCTCCAAAGATTTTCTATTGGGTTCAGGTCTGGAGATTGGCTAGGCCACTCCAGGACCTTGAGATGCTTCTTACGGAGCCACTCCTTAGTTGCCCTGGCTGTGTGTTTGGGGTCGTTGTCATGCTGGAAGACCCAGCCACGACCCATCTTCAATGCTCTTACTGAGGGAAGGAGGTTGTTGGCCAAGATCTCGCGATACATGGCCCCATCCTTCCACCCCTCAATACGGTGCAGTCATCCTGTCCCCTTTGCAGAAAAGCATCCCCAAAGAATTATGTTTCCACCTCCATGCTTCACGGTTGGGATAGTGTTCTTGGGGTTGTACTCATCCTTCTTCTTCCTCCAAACACGGCGAGTGGAGTTTAGACCAAAAAGCTCTATTTTTGTCTCATCAGACCACATGACCTTCTCCCATTCCTCCTCTGGATCATCCAGATGGTCATTGGCAAACTTCAGACGGGCCTGGACATGCGCTGGTTTGAGCAGGGGGACCTTGCGTGCGCTGCAGGATTTTAATCCATGACGGCGTAGTGTGTTACTAATGGTTTTCTTTGAGACTGTGGTCCCAGCTCTCTTCAGGTCATTGACCAGGTCCTGCCGTGTAGTTCTGGGCTGATCCCTCACCTTCCTCATGATCATTAATGCCCCACGAGGTGAGATCTTGCATGGAGCCCCAGACCGAGGGTGATTGACCGTCATCTTGAACTTCTTCCATTTTCTAATAATTGCACCAACAGTTGTTGCCTTCTCACCAAGCTGCTTGCCTATTGTCCTGTAGCCCATCCCAGCCTTGTGCAGGTCTACAATTCTATCCCTGATGTCCTTACACAGCTCTCTGGTCTTGGCCATTGTGGAGAGGTTGGAGTCTGTTTGAGTGTGTGGACAGGTGTCTTTTATACAGATAACGAGTTCAAACAGGTGCAGTTAATACAGGTAATGAGTGGAGAACAGGAGGGCTTCTTAAAGAAAAACTAACAGGTCTGTGAGAGACGGAATTCTTACTGGTTGGTAGGTGATCAAATACTTATAGTGGGGGAAAAAAAAGTATTTAGTCAGCCACCAATTGTGCAAGTTCTCCCACTTAAAAAGATGAGGGAGGCCTGTAATTTTCATCATAGGTACACGTCAACTATGACAGACAAATTGAGAGAAAAAATCCAGAAAACCACATTGTAGGATTTTTAATGAATTTATTTGCAAATTATGGTGGAAAATAAGTATTTGGTCACCTACAAACAAGCAAGATTTCTGGCTCTCACAGACCTGTAACACGACCTCCACTCGTTACCTGTATTAATGGCACCTGTTTGAACTTGTTATCAGTATAAAAGACACCTGTCCACAACCTCAAACAGTCACACTCCAAACTCCACTATGGCCAAGACCAAAGAGCTGTCAAAGGACACCAGAAACAAAATTGTAGACCTGCACCAGGCTGGGAAGACTGAATCTGCAATAGGTAAGCAGCTTGGTTTGAAGAAATCGACTGTGGGAGCAATTATTAGGAAATGGAAGACATACAAGACCACTGATAATCTCCCTCGATCTGGGGCTCCATGCAAGATCTCGCCCCGTCGGGTCAAAATGATCACAAGAACGGTGAGCAAAAATCCCAGAACCACACGGGGGGACCTAGTGAATGACCTGCAGAGAGCTGGGACCAAAGTAACAAAGCCTACCATCAGTAACACACTACGCCGCCAGGGACTCAAATCCTGCAGTGCCAGACGTGTCCCCCTGCTTAAGCCAGTACATGTCCAGGCCCGTCTGAAGTTTGCTAGAGTGCATTTGGATGATCCAGAAGAGGATTGGGAGAATGTCATATGGTCAGATGAAACCAAAATAGAACTTTTTGGTAAAAACTCAACTCGTCGTGTTTGGAGGACAAAGAATGCTGAGTTGCATCCAAAGAACACCATATCTACTGTGAAGCATGGGTTTGGAAACATCATGCTTTGGGGCTGTTTTTCTGCAAAGGGACCAGGACGACTGATCCGTGTAAAGGAAAGAATGAATGGGGCCATGTATCGTGAGATTTTGAGTGAAAACCTCTTTCAGCATGACAATGATCCCAAACACACCGCCCGGGCAACGAAGGAGTGGCTTCGTAAGAAGCATTTCAAGGTCCTGGAGTAGCCTAGCCAGTCTCCAGATCTCAACCCCATAGAAAATCTTTGGAGGGAGTTGAATGTCCGTGTTGCCCAGCGACAGCCCCAAAACATCACTGCTCTAGAGGAGAACTGCATGGAGGAATGGGCCAAAATACCAGCAAAAGTGTGTGAAAACCATGTGAAGACTTACAGAAAACGTTTGACCTGTGTCATTGCCAACAAAGGGTATATAACAAAGTATTGAGAAACTTTTGTTATTGACCAAATACTTATTTTCCACCATAATTTGCAAATAAATTCATTAAAAATCCTACAATGTGATTTTCTGGATTTTTTTTCTCATTTTGTCTGTCATAGTTGACGCGTACCTATGATGAACATTACAGGCCTCTCATCTTTTTAAGTGGGAGAACTTGCACAATTGGTGGCTGACTAAATACTTTTTTCCCCCACTGTATGTCATGCAATAAAATGCAAATTAATTACTTAAAAATCATACAATGTGATTTTCTGGATTTTTGTTTTAGATTCCATCTCTCACAGTTGAAGTGTACCTATGATAAAAATTACAGACCTCTACATGCTTTGTAAGTAGGAAAACCTGCAAAATCGGCAGTGTATCAAATACTTGTTCTCCCCACTGTATGTATTATATGGCTAAATGCACTCAGCAAACAGTTTGTGTTATCACATGCAATAGATTATATTTCCATTTTGTTCGGTGACAAATTCCATACCAGTTTTGTTTGTTTATTGCATTGCATAGTTTTCTCACCCCCTTCGTTGTCTTCATAGAATGTTTGTTCCATAGATTTTGTCAAACGCCTCCATGATGTTTAAATTACCTATCCAGTCTTTATGCATTTTACATTGCAAATATCACTGTGATATTTTGGCCGAACCCTGTTTTTATGTTGACAATTTTTCTTGTTTTTTTTCTTGTTTTAACATATTTTTCTTGGTGTTTTCTTTCATGACATTCTGGAATCATGCAATACAGGAAAAACACTTGTATCTTATGCATTCTTTTAGATTTTATTCATTTTTTCTTTTCTTTTTTTCTCTAAAACAACTGAGCTTATTTCAAGCAGAATTGCTAACACTATTGGCATTAATATTATCTTTGTATTGAATTACATGGCTCTGTTTTTTGAGAGATATAGGCCCTACTGTTGACTTGGTTTATCTGCTGGGCCAAATTGTACAAACATGTATAACTGCCAGTTACCAAATGCCATTGCAAAATTGTTAGTTATGTGGTATTGTAATGACAATTATTTTTCTTGACAACTGTTTTTGGACAAGCTGTAAGGTCATGTCTTTGACATCAATTCTGTTTTGGTTTTATATTCAATAAATTAATTGGTGGATAGATTTTGTTAATTGCTTTAATTTGATAATCAAACAATATAAGTGATTATAGTTTAGTAGCCTGCAGTGGCCTGGGATTATCCAGGAGAACCCTTCTCAAATCGAGCCGTAATCTGTGCTGCACGGTCATGTTGTCAACAAGGCAGCATAGTGCATTTTCCAGAAACATCTCTTTCCCATAAAATATGTTTGAATTTTCAAACTAGTTTTCATTGGGAAGGCAGAAAGCGTTTTATCCAAATAAATCACTTTTTGCATTTAAAAACACAGAATCGTACTCATTACTCCACATGCTTAATCTAGCCTAAACTCACTTGTTCTCACATCAATAGGATATAGCTAGCCCATCGGTTTATATATCCTGAGAAAGACCCAAACAAATTGTAGTTACGGTTTTGAAATGTTTGTGTTCATATTTTAAAATGTAATGTGTTATGACATCTGAGGAAATGTAGGTGCGAAATTGTCAGAATGACCTTTTACATCATCACATCCGAGTGTACATTAAATGTCCCTTGCCCAAGCGAGGGAGAGTGGTGATCGGAAAGGCAACGTCCTTGGTGGAAATCTTGAAGTTGACCTTAAAAACAACCAACCTAAAGCTATTAATGTACATAGCTAGCACTCCTGTCAGGTAGCTAGATACAGTTACCCATAGCTGGCTAGCTAGTTTTATAGTTTGGTCATTGATTCCAATACATTTCAGAATTCCAGAAAAACATTTTTTTTGAAGCTAGCTATGTTTTATAGTCTCCTCACTACGAGACTAAGCCAATTTGCCAACGCTAAAATCAATGTCATATTTATATTTCTTTTTTTAGCAAGCAAGTGTCATAATTTTGTCTGACATGCAAAAATGCAGCCATGTTGATTAAATGTGACACTTCGCTGCCACCGAAGTATGACACGTGACTACAGTTTGCATGGAATTGTGGGTCATATCAACCCCACAAGTGATCAAAGTTCTTAACTCGTTCCCTCGAGGGCTAAGGGGGTCAAAATAAAGTGTTTGGACTGCAGCCCAAGTTTCTAAACCCAGAGGCGCAATTTCACCAGACCTTCGAGAAGTCTTGCGAAACAGACCAAGCAGACCAGGCCGAGGTTTGGGTTTTGAGAAGTCAATGAGAGAAGTGAAAAATTATTCCTTAGTTGTTAATTTTTTCTAAATCTAAAGGCACAACCTAGATTCGAGCCAATGTCTTAAGTAGTTGAACATGTTATTACTACAACCTTGTGAAAGTTGTGGGAAATTATTCTCTTATATTTTAGATGTGCTGTTAGCTTAATAAGAAAGCATTAATGATTAAACATAATAGGTTTGTGCTGTACTGACATAGATTGTTTAACATAACAAGCTGTGATTGATGTGGGGAACTGTTAGGGAGTAGGATGAGATAAGACTTGTGTCTCACATACACAAACACTGCCTCTTTGTTAGACCGCTCAAGGACATGTGTACTGCAAAAGTGCTGACTCTCTGGACAAGTTGCAAAACAACTAAACACCTGGCAACAGTGAAGCGCCAAGGGGCTGGGACCAGCCTGTGCGCCAACGATAGGCTGAGTAAGTCTAAACCACGCTCTACTCTGATAGGCCAGCAGGGAGCGGGAACTATCTCTGTCAGAGTATTTAAAGAAGAACTTATAACAATGGACCAGTTCTCTGACTGCCCTGCGTGGTTTTTCAGTGGACCCGTATATACGAACATCATATTTACCATTGAAGTGTTTTGCATTAATTAATATACTAGTCTATTTTAGAAGACGTGTATTGACCTCTTTTTGTTCCAATACCAGATTTGAATTGACGCAACTTAACAAAGTGAAAAACTGACTAGTTTTCATTTTTGTCAAAAACAACTTTACATCGAAGGGGTGCAGTTCGGCGCGAGATGACAGACACAATTAATTGTTTCTACGAATTAGTTTAGCTAGCCAACATCACCATGACATTGGATTTGTTTGAGTGGTAAGGTTGAAGCAACCTACTGCAGAGGAAAGTCGAAGAGCGAAGTCGGGGGAGGTGCATCTGTGACAGTTGCAAGTCAGACATTGATATGGTTTTCCAAAGGCTCAGTGCAATATGGCGGTGTTTCCATTGTTTATTCAAGGTTTTCTTTGTAATGGCGAAATAAACTTTCCAACCCCCATATCACACACTCTAGGGTGTTCACCCATAAAATGATTAATTCATTCAAGGTTTATACAAATGTCCATTCAATAGAGAATTCCGTCAGAAAAACAATAGTTCAAACCCCATGTTTCTATATGGTTAAAAAGTTACAGACTATTTACTCTGAGAATTTAGCATGTTTAGCGTGAATGGAACGTCATCATAGGCATGATCAAAAAGTCACTGCTCACTTCTCCGCAACAGAACGGCGCTAACTTCGAACGTCAACTGACAAGCTAACTAGTGGCTGCAGGTTCGTGAGTGAAAACATGGGCTTTTTCTATATGAAATCCGCTGAATACAAAACTAAATAGGGACTAAATATCTATTTATATACAAAGCTAAGAGACTGAATTTCAATATCCACCCTCCAGGAAGACAATCTGTTTTCATTGTGCATTTCTGAGTCTTTCCCTTTAAATCGCCATAGAAACGGCCCCTCTCAATGTAGATTGATTGCCAATATAGGCAATGAAAGCCAAGGATCTGGAGGTGTAAATGAGAAAGGTATCAAGTTAATTTTGATTGGTCTAACTAGCAGAAACACCTCCAAATGGTACCACCTCACAACACCAAATATGGAAGAGATACAACAAGAGCGGCGCAACCTAAACTATCAATGGTCACAGCAAATTAACATTCTTATTTCATCAATACTGTCAAGTACAAGTATATTAAGGTTATCATATTGTAGAGAACAATCTAATTATTAATTATATGTAATTGATAATGACATAGAGCAAATAAAACTATGTTTTGACATTATTTCGTGGCACCCTCTTGAATTTCCCTGTTTTTCTCCACATTGTACAACGCCCGACAAACTCACAAACTAAAATCATATGTGTGTACATTGTACAATCATTAGCTCAGCTGGTAGAGCACGGCGCTTGTAACGCCAAGGTAGTGGGTTCGATCCCCGGGACCACCCATACACAAAAATGTATGCACGCATGACTGTAAGTCGCTTTGGATAAAAGTGTCTGCTAAATGGCTTATTATTATTATTATTATTATTGTTATAGCCTATATATCCACTGTATACAGTACAAATCAAAATATATTTTATATTTGAGTTTCTTCAAATAGCCACCCTTTGCCTTGATGACAGCTTTGCACACTCTTGGCATTCTCTCAACCAGCTTCATGTAGTCACCTGGCTATTTGAAGAATCTCAAATATATTTTGATTTGTTTAACACTTTTTTGGTTACTACATGATGTCTTCACTATTATTCTACAATGTAAAAAATAGTAAAAATAAAGAAAAACCCTTGAATGAGTAGGTGTGTCCAAACTTTTGACTGGTAGTGTACATGAATTGCTGCAAAGTTGGTTCCTGTTTCAGTCATGTCTGCATGTTTACCCGAGGAGCTACAGACGGCTATATAGGTCTCTAATACAGGACTAGTAAAGGCCCAGTGCACTACTTTTAAAATAAAAAAAACAATTCCATTTTTTATGATTAATATTTATTTTTCTAATGTTTTTTTAGGGGGTGCTGCAGCACCCTCAGCACCCCTACTTCCCGCGGCTATGCTGCAGAATGAAGTTGGTGAAGAGCAACTGCAGAAACTTGCAGTCAAACCTTCATGACATTTGATCACACGATTTTGAAAACTTCATGCAGTAGACGTGTAGGCGCAATTCGGACAATTTCTATACACAGAACACAACACATTTTGAAAGGTGGTGAGCAACGATGGACTTGACTCGAACGCGCCCAAAGCCTGCAAGTGTGATCAGGGATTTCTATTGGAGATGCATTTCTGCCTACTTCATACTGTACCACAGACAGAAGACATGTCACAAGGGCTATAAAGCTGAAGCATCCGTTTAGAACGTTCTCACCACCAAATGTAGTGAGAGGAAGGCCAGTGATAGAGGGTGGAACTAAACTGATCCGAAATTCTGCACATTTTGTCATCGATGAAACATCTTATCTTAATACATTTTTCTGTTCCCAAAACTAGAATCTGTTACGAACACAGTGCACTAAGTTTTATAAGCGACGCTTTGCCAAACTTTTAAAAAATTGCGTTGTTTAGAAAGACTGCAAGGTCGAATGGAGCTTGTCCATACGCGCACTTTGGCGTTCCCTAACGGAATATGCAAATACATCCTACAAGGTGCCAATAGGATCTCGCTAGCTCGTGCTTGGCTTTGCCCAGCTCCTTGCCTGTTCTGCACACTATGCTTCATTTGCTCCCACTGTAAACGACACAGATGAACTTTCTTAAATTAAGGTTAGGGTTAGGTATAAGCTTAGCAGTGTGGTTAAGGTTAGGTTTAAAACCAGGTTTTAAGAAGGTACATTGTAGAAATGGGCGGGGTTTATGACTTTGTGGCTTTGGAAACTAGTGACGACCGTTAAGAAGGCGACACGCCATCTTAACTCCTCCTCAACATTTACTGGATTGGTTGAACAGTGCAGAAGATACCCCCCGCCCCTTACGCCTGACGATGTCAAAGTTCATAAAATAACAGTAAAAATTGAAAAATAGTTTTTTAAAAACAAAGCAAATATACAGTATATAACCATATCATAAAATAACAAAGTGTAGGCGGAAAGGTAGGCCAGCCTATAACATTCGTCTTAAGGCCTGCTTTAAAAGCTCCACCAGTCTGAACAGCCCTGAGTTTGTCCGGAAGAGAGTTCCAAAGGTGTGGTGTTACATAATTTTGCAAGTAAACTTTTTTGGTGTTCACACAGGTTCACACTTCTCTCCGACATACAAGGTCAGTATTTCTTAGACTTATCTTGAAATTATAGGTCGATAATTTAACAGACAACCGTATGTTTTGTAGGCTTTTATTTTTTAGCTTTATTTTCATGTATGGTTCTAGTTTCATAGTACATTTTAGTCATTTAGCAGACGCTCTTATCCAGAGCGACTTACAGTTAGTGAATACATATTATTATTCATACTGGCCCCCCCGTGGGAATCGAACCCACAACCCTGGCGTTGCAAACGCCATGCTCTATCAACTGAGCTACATCCCTGCCGGCCATTCCCTCCCCTACCCTGGACGACGCTGGGCCAATTGTGCGCCGCCCATGAGTCTCCCGGTCGCGGCCGGCTGCGACAGAGCCAGGATTCGAACCAGGATCTCTAGTGGCACACAATTAGACCACTGCGCCACTCAGGAGACATAGTAGTCTGATTAAATGCACAGTACTTTATTTGACACGGTCATTACTTTTAGCATACATACAAGGATTTGCCTGCATGCACTAAATCTAATGCAATGCATCAAACACAACATTGCTGAATTTGCAAATGAAAGCGTAATGGAATGTGGTTGTTTCCTTCCTACAGTAAACTTCAAAATCACCATGTCTGGAAAAGTGGTGCTGACTTATTTCAATGGGAGGGGTAAAATGGAGTCAATTCGATGGCTTTTAGCAGTTGCTGGAGTTGAGGTAAGTAGGTTGAACAAATCAAAAAGTGTGGCTGTAGTCTGTTTACAGGACTTGCTTTTTCAAGTAGTCCATTCAAGTAGACCTACCCTAAGTGAAATAGTGGATAGGCCTACAGGTGATGCGCACAGATGGATCACTAAACTGTAATTCTGAAAATATACATTTTATGTCCACAGTTTGAAGAAGTGAATATGACAAAGCACGAGGAATATGTAAAGCTGTTGAGTGGTAAGTTTGGTCACAGTGTTAATAACTCCAATAACATGCTCATTGTTTTGAAGGGTGTTTAATTGTTGGACCTTTTTTTTCAGATGGAGCACTCATGTTTGAGCAGGTTCCATTGGTGGAAATTGATGGAATGAAGCTGGTTCAAACCAAGGCTATCCTAAACTACATAGCTGGGAAATACAATCTTTATGGGAAAGACCTAAAAGAACGAGTCATGTATGTATGTATGAATTTTAATTATGTAATTATAACTTATTTACACTTACATTTACATTTTAGTCATTTAGCAGACGCTCTTATCCAGAGCGACTTACAGTTAGTGAATACATTTTTTTTTTTTTTTTTTATACTGGCCCCCCGTGGGAATCGAACCCACAACCCTGGCGTTGCAAACGCCATGCTCTATCAACTGAGCTACATCCCTGCCGGCCATTCCCTCCCCTACCCTGGACGACGCTGGGCCAATTGTGCGCCGCCCATGAGTCTCCCGGTCGCGGCCGGCTGCGACTTGTTTGGCTGTATTACAGAGGCATAAGGGGAGCTGTTTGTACAAAAAAGGGGGGAAATCTGCTAAGGGTTTGGTTTTAATTTACCTTTAGGATTGACATGTATGCTGAAGGTGTGAGGGACTTGATGGAAATGATAATGATGTTGCCATTCATTTCACCTGATGCCAAGAAAACTAAACTGGAGGACATCGAGAGGAAAGCTACAAGCCGCTACATCCCAGTGTTCGAGAAGGTACTGTATGCTTTGGGCCTTGGCCGGCTGGGAAGAGTAGAGCTTACTAAAGTAACCTAAATCTAAGCAGTTTTATTAGCATAACAATTGAGAAATACCATGTCTGCTAAGTGAAAAAAGGTTGGCACGTCTGTACAAGTTTATGTATTGACTAATTTGAGGGTGTGCGCTGATTTTACCTCACAGGCTCTTGCTAGCTCCCAGTACCTGGTGGGTAATCAGTTGAGCTGTGCTGATGTCCAGCTACTTGAAACCACCTTGATGTTGGAGGAGAAATTTCCTACAATTCTCTCCAAATTCCCTGTTGTTAAGGTAAAGTTTATTACAAATGTATTTTGTTCTTGACAAAATAAGTCATGAGACAAATCATCTTGTTACATTTAAGTGCATCTCATCAAAACATGTTACAGGTTCACATTACCCAAACAGCATATGAATATTGCACTTGGCACATTTTAATACAGATATCAATATATAAGTCTGGCCATACTGTTTCGAATTTACTGCTACAACACCCTCTGTCTATTTTTAAATGTACTGCTGCAACACCCTGGGTGTGTCCCAATAATCTCTCCTGAAGTGTGCCCTCATTCACTACTTCCCATAAATCTAAAAGCATTGGATTTTGTGGAGGCATATTTATTTGACCAGTCATTTCCTTTCAAATCAGTGAAGGGAAGTGAACCCAGGCATACTTTGGGAGGAAGGAGAGATAATTAGGAGATAGTCAGCAGCAGATTTGAAAGAAAGGTAAAAGGATCCATAGATACTTCATTTGATTAATTATTGATGGGTGCAAATTGTTTTCTTTTCAGGCTTTTCAAGGGAGGATGAAAAGCCTACCGGCCATTCAGAAGTTCCTGCAGCCAGGCAGCAAGAGAAAGCCTCAACCAGATGATGTATATGTAAAGACTGTGTATGAGGTGTTCAACTTCAAGCACTGATGCTTATCTAAACACCAAGTAAAATGCAGTTTAAAGAGTTGAAGCGAATATAATAATATTCCATATTGTCATAATTACTTGTAACATGTAAGGACCAAATTGTTCAAGTAGCACAAGTATTTTTATGTTTTTCAATAATATACACAAATTAATAACGAAAAAGGCTGTTAAACAAAATGTCAGCTGTAATTAAACACTACATGTCTGTTCTGAGTTATTCCATCATTTATATCAAACATTTAGTTATTAGGTTATTTACAGTCAAGTGGCTAAACATGATTGTCAAACTAAGTAGTCATACCTTCTGCAGTGCAATACAATTAATTCAGATCAAGTAGTAAATGTTACTTTATTTCTGTTCCCATATTCATTGACCAAATCATTACAAAAATAATACATATAGGCAAGCACAAACAATGTGCAAATGGAACTTCATCCCTTGCAGTGACATTTTCAGTCTCACTTTAGTCAGTTGTGTTGTTCAAATCACATTACAATCACGCTCATGAAGAGAAGTCGCAGGACCATCAGCAAACTGAATAGAGAAACCAGATATGATAACTTCATATTGATTGTGCACGTTAATGTTTCAAATTAAATCATTTCAACACAGGGTCAATTGTAAGAAACATCAAAATACAATGAAAAGCAGCAAGGAGTTAAATGTAACGTTAACCTCCATATATATCAAACCCACGCAATACAGACTATAGTGCACGATTGATGATTCTCACCTTAGTCCTGCCATGATGCCAGCTGGCATTATTTTCCCAGATTTCTTGAATCTCATTCCCATCACTAGTGTCAGCGCTCCTGAGGCAACTGAGAAAAGAAAGAAGATTTATACATTTATTTAAATGCTATTTCAAGACATGTCAAGGCCTAAAATAATAAATTATATTTCATTGAGGTTTCCGGTGACCAACACATCCCAGCAAAGCAGGCATACATACCGAGGGAGTAGAAAGTCTTGGTTGGGTCATTTGAAATCATTAAGGCCCCATAGGCGGCTATGCTGCCAAACAATAGCCCAGCTATCAGTGACATGACACTACCTGTAGTCAAAAATAGATATTACTTGCCATCGTCTTGTTAACAGGGTCAATGAAATTGCTTTGTGCATTTTGAACTGCTTGACTGGAAACGCTTACCTTTTTTCTTGTATCCCATGAACCCCCCCAGGGCTATGGCTGCAGCATAGCCAAATCCAAGCCAGTCAATTGCCATTGCAGTGCTGTGGAACAGGAGTATTGGGACACATCAATTAATCTTCTTAAGGCTTCCACATATTTCGGTTCGGCTGGCTTTGGCTAGGCGAACCGAAAGAGTGTGCTCGCACAGTTTACTGTTTTTCCATCTTGAGACACCATAGCGTTGGTGCAGTATTTCAAGAGAGGAAGAGTCGAAGCGAGAGGGATAACTGGGCCCAAAATCTGGTTGTTCATCTGCCCTCTCATTGGCTAGAATAGTCCCACCTGATCTTGCCTCCTCCCAACTGCCTTCCATTTTTGAAGACATATCTTTTCATTTTTATAAGGGCCACTAGAGTATCTGGTCAATATAATGGATCATCTGTAGTATTTCTCAAGTGAAAAATTGTGCATGAAAATGAGTCGTCTCTCGTTGAATGACAACAAACATTTGAAGAATGCCTTCTGTTGACCAATCACCAACGAAAGGGTGTAGACTTCGGCTACCGAACTTTGGCTTGCCTCGAGAAAAAAATGTGTGCACGGACAGCCGAAAAAACCCTTGCTGAAGACCAAAACTAACAAAAATGACACAAAATGTCATCATAATATAGGCACGAACTTCCCATCTGAATTATTTCGGAAGGGAAGCACGCAGACACTTTTAGCCTACATAGCTAGTAGCCCTTGATCATGACTCTTAGCTCCATTACATTACACATAAGAGTCATTGTAAAAAGGGGATCTTCTCTATGGGGGAGTTTTGTTATGAACCCAGACACTCACCAGGGCATAACATTTACTTTTTGTTCCACCAGCCATTGTGACAGGTAGATAAAAAAAATCTACCAGCCACTCAGATTTTTTACCAGGCTAAATATTTTTGGCCTGCTTACATTACACCAACAAAACACCCCAAAAAATGTATGCATGTTTCTAAAACAATAAATGTATTACTAATGTGGTATATTGAATAATTACATTTTTGTGACCCGAGTCTTTTAACCAAAATATCACAGATGAGACAAAAAAATTTCACCTGCCCCTTTAAGGGTGGGAGGTTACCGCGGTAGCGAGACTCCAGTCATGTTTGTGCCTGTGAGATTGAGTCTGACTAGTAGAGTGTTTTCTTATGGAGCCAGATACCCGCCAAACGGTTGAACGTACACTACTGTTCAAAAGTTCGGGGTCACTTAGACATTTCCTTGTTTTCGACAGAAAAGCAATTTTTTTTGTCCATTACAATAACATCAAATTGATCAGAAACACAGTGTAGACATTGTTAATGTTGTAAATGGCTATTGTAGCTGGAAACGGCTGATTTTTAATGGAATATCTACATAGGCGTACAGAGGCCCATTATCAGCAACCATCAGTCCTGTGTTCCAATGGCACATTGTGTTTGCTAATCCAAGTTTATCATTTTAAAAGGCTAATTGATAATTAGAAAACCCTTTTGCAATTATGTTAGCACAGCTGAAAACCGTTGTGCTGATTAAAGAAGCAATAAAACTGGCCTTCTTGAGACTAGTTGAGTATATGGAGCATCAGCAATTGTGGGTTCGATTACAGGCTCAAAATGGCCAGAAACAAATAACTTTCTTCTGAAACTCGTCAGTCTATTCTTGTTCTGAGAAATGAAGGCTATTCCATGCGAGAATGTAAACGTGAAATTTAATCTGTGAACATACAAACACCATGTTACGATTACAGACGAACAAATCTTGTGTTGCAATTCTGACATACAATAATACCTTTCAGAGTTTTGGCAGTTTCCTCTCACCAACAAAAAAAACATACACCAAACGGTCTGTGAGTAGTGCTACTCGAACAAGCATAACGCAGTATTAAAAAAAACGGAAGTCAGGGAAACCAGAAAGAGGTATCCTGCACGTTTTCAAGTTAAAAGTCTCCATTCCTCCTGTTGAGTTTACTTCACATTTAGGTAGCTCATGTAATGGATTTGTTAGCCAGCGCAAGTCTAGATAGTATTAGCTGTATTATGCCTACCACAGTTAAGTTTCAGTCCGCTAGGTGTATCTCTCCAGCAAGTGGACATCCCCATGCATGCACCTTATCAAAATATGACTAATTCAATATTGCACCATCCCATTCTCTGTGCGCTGTCTGCAATCATAACCAGTAGTACAGTGAGGGAAAAAAGTATTTGATCCCCTGCTGATTGTGTACGTTTGCCCACTGACAAAGAAATGATCAGTCTATAATTTTAATGGTAGGTTTATTTGAACAGTGAGAGACAGAATAACAACAAAAAAATCCAGAAAAACGCATGTCAAAAATGTTATAAATTGATTTGCATTTTAATGAGGGAAATAAGTATTTGACCCCCTCTCAATCAGAAAGATTTCTGGCTCCCAGGTGTCTTTTATACAGGTAACGAGCTGAGATTAGGAGCACACTCTTAAAGGGAGTGCTCCTAATCTCAGCTTGTTACCTGTATAAAAGACACCTGTCCACAGAAGCAATCAATCAATCAGATTCCAAACTCTCCACCATAGCCAAGACCAAAGAGCTCTCCAAGGATGTCAGGGACAAGATTGTAGACCTACACAAGGCTGGAATGGGCTACAAGACCATCGCCAAGCAGCTTGGTGAGAAGGTGACAACAGTTGGTGCGATTATTCGCAAATGGAAGAAACACAAAAGAACTGTCAATCTCCCTCGGCCTGGAGCTCCATGCAAGATCTCACCTCGTGGAGTTGCAATGATCATGAGAACGGTGAGGAATCAGCCCAGAACTACACGGGAGGATCTTGTCAATGATCTCAAGGCAGCTGGGACCATAGTCACCAAGAAAACAAATTGGTAACACACTACGACGTGAAGGAGTGAAATCATGCAGCGCCCGCAAGGTCCCCCTGCTCAAGAAAGCACATATACAGGCCCGTCTGAAGTTTGCCAATGAACATCTGAATGATTCAGAGGAGAACTGGGTGAAAGTGTTGTGGTCAGATGAGACCAAAATGGAGCTCTTTGGCATCAACTCAACTCGCTGTGTTTGGAGGAGGAGGAATGCTGCCTATGACCCCAAGAACACCATCCCCACCGTCAAACATGGAGGTGGAAACATTGTGCTTTGGGGGTGTTTTTCTGCTAAGGGGACAGGACAACTTCACTGCATCAAATGGACGATGGACGGGGCCATGTACGTCAAATCTTGGGTGAGAACCTCCTTCCCTCAGCCAGGGCATTGAAAATGGGTCGTGGAAGGGTATTCCAGCATGACAATGACCCAAAACACACAGCCAAGGCAACAAAGGAGTGGCTCAAGAAGAAGCACATTAAGGTCCTGGAGTGGCCTAGCCAGTCTCCAGACCTTAATCCCATAGAAAATCTGTGGAGGGAGCTGAAGGTTTGAGTTGCCAAACGTCAGCCTCGAAACCTTAATGACTTGGAGAAGATCTGCAAAGAGGAGTGGAACAAAATCCCTCCTGAGATGTGTGCAAACCTGGTGGCCAACTACAAGAAACTTCTGACCTCTGTGATTGCCAACAAGAGTTTTGCCACCAAGTACTAAGTCATGTTTTGCAGAGGAGTCAAATACTTATTTCCCTCATTAAAATGCAAATCAATTTAACATTTTTTACATGCCTTTTTCTGGATTTTTTTGTTGTTATTCTGTCTCTCACTGTTCAAATAAACCTACCATTAAAATTATAGACTGATCATGTCTTTGTCAGTGGGCAAACATACAAAATCAGCAGGGGATCAAATACTTTTTTCCCTCACTGTATATTCCAGGTATAACGAAACATGGAATAATAATAGATGTTTGGTGAATCTATAAATGCATTAATAAAACAGTCAAAATGCGTAATATAAAGGCCTACAGTACAAATACTGGAAAAAGTGTGATTCATTAGGTTACATGACCACCACAATAGCCCCACACGGCTATAAAAATAAATTATGCAATGATATGGCCATTAAATAACACACAACAGCATGGCACATTTAGATAGTGATATAGGCCTAGCCTAAATCATATTTACTTTCTATTTTGCAGCTCAGGTGGTTATTCTAGACAAGGCTCTTCTGTGTCTTTACCATTCTCACACAAGTCATTTGCTGAAGGCCCAGGTCTATACTAAGGCATCTACTGGTATAACGTCGTTATTGAATGCAGTTCTAAAACAAACTCTAGACTTTTATTTTGGAAATTAAACCGGAAGCTGCAAAGCAAATCTAACGTCTGGGCTAGAGTTGCTTGATTGACTAGCTAACTTCGACTGGCTACGTTCGGTTCATGTCCTTTACAGATGCCACATTACAACAAAAGTTTGCACGCATAAAAAAGATCTGTAACCAAGTAAAGGGAGACGTAAAGTAAGAATTGAATGTGTAAATATTAATTAATAGTCGTAACATAAGTTTTGTACATTTACAGATCTATTTTAACGTTTACATTTCATGTTTCAAACATGGCTTTTCTTACGATCCTAACAATTTACGTATGGATTGTCTTACGATCCTAACGATACGTACGTTCAACCTTTTGGCGGGTATTTGGCTCCATATTATCTTCTCTTCCCTAGCAGTTGAAACTCAAACATAGAAAAACAACCTAGTTTGTGAACAAAAAGTAAATAGCCAAGAAACACAAGGACAAAGTCTCACTTCAGTAGACTTTAGTTTCAAGTAAATTAGACCAACTTTTATGCCTGTGCGCAGAGCTTCTAAAAAGGTATCTTTCACTCAGCTCTTCGCATGCGCACAGCCCCCAGCCAGGCAGTGTTGCAGCGCGAGGTGGAATAGGCTATAGGATTTGTTGTTCTTTGACTTTGTGCTATTATTTTACCAGCTATAAAACAAAACAGCGATAATACTTTGAAAACAGCTACTGCTGCATTTATTTTACTATAAATGTGATCATACTTGACTATTTTTATTCACAGGTGAGTAATGGCGCCGGAGGGGATGGCTGCCGTTTTATTGACTCCTAACCAACCGTGCTATTTTGTGTGTTTTTTCGCATTGTTTTTAATTTATTTTGTACATCATGTTGCTGCTACTGTC